TAAACAATAAACTTATTTTCTTGGGAAGCCTTGGAAGTTAATTCATAAATACTGATTTTACATTACATTGGCTCATCAAACACACAAACACAAAAAATCTTTTTCAGTTTTATAGTACCCCACACAAGTTTTTGATAATAACTTTGACCCATGATTTGAACACTCTATCCTTGACTATTTGTTATTAAATTTAGCACACATAAACTAGAGGAAATTTCCAACATTGAAATTTTTTTGTTTTTATTTGACTTCAATAACAATAAAATTACAAGTAATCAAATCAAGGGTGTCATTAATGGGTTTTCACCAAATTGACGTCATAAAATCATTCTATGAATTGTTCATTTTAACAATTTTATTGACTTTTATCTCATTATCTTATCAATATTCATCTTATTGAATTTCATCTCAAAGCAGTCTTGTATTTATGGTACTTATGAATAGTATATGTTTAACTTGGGTTAGCCTCACCACTTGCAAATCCTTTCATTTTTGTACTCAGAAGACTCTAATGAACTTAACAAGTAAATGTACAAGTAAATGTACTGTACAGCTGTAATGTCATAGTCATTCAAACAATGTAGCAATTTGGTAAAACACTGGTAACTGTGTAGCATTTTGAACTTACTGCCCTTTAACCATTATAAATCATATGGCTTAATAAAAAATTTTCAATGTTGGAAATTTCCTCTAATTTATGTGTGCTAAATTTAATAACAAATAGTTAAGGATGGAGTGTTCAAATCACGGGTCAAAGTTATTATCAAAAACTTGTGTGGGGTACTATAAAGTACAAGTAGATGTAAATGTTTCAACTACATGTACATACCTCATCTTTTTGTAATTTACATCCATTGTCTACATTTTTCTCAATCCTATCCTGTAGTATCTCCTGAAACTAGATAAACAGTTGTAACTTACTCACGTCGAGAGCTACCATGTTAGATTTTGAAAGTATAGCTCTCCGTCGTGAGGATCTCCAGCTGAAGAATTGTGACATCTAAATTTGATCAGCGCCAGTCAGCGGCTTACTGTTTGTCTCAAACTGTAGCCTACATATGGGCTCATATGTGTCTACTTTCCCTGTGCATGTAGGATCGCGGATGTGCTTCTATGGCGATCAGGAGTTCTAATCGTTTTTTGTTCGATACCCATTTCCAATATGGCGGTTAAACAGAAATATTATCGACGCATGCGCAACTTGGGAAACGTCAAGCCGCCATATTGAATATACCTGGCCAAAACTTTTGACACGACCAATAAAATGAAGTCCTGATCGATACATAGGGCAGTGAGACGTTCTATAGTTGAGCTGAATGAAAGATGGCGATGTAGGATACATTTTCAGGTATATAATGTGCAACATGAGTCAGCTGAATTCCCTGGAATTTTCTTTGAAGTCAGGACTCTTAAGCTGTTGATTCTAGCGATAGAGAGCTATACTTTCAAAATCTAAGTAGCTCTCGACGGGAGTAAGTTGTAACATTTAAACTTATTAATGTTATATATCGGGTGTCCCAAAAAATGAGACACTTTTTACCAAGTATTTTCCCAGCAACTGATGAACCAAATTCACTGAAAATTTGTACAAGTAGCCTAAGAGCATAATGAGCAAGTTGTGAAAATACTATAAAAAATATCAAGCAAATATTACATGAGTACTAATAAATTCAAAATGGCATGTCAAAAATCCCCATACCGAAGCTCTGTGATGAGACCTCTATAGTGTTGGTATCATTTGTTTATCAGTCAAAATCTAATGATTGTAAAGGTGACAACTTAGACTCTACAGATTGAAATTGATGCGTTGCCAACTTGACCCTCGCAAAAAAGTTTCATTGAAAATATGTTCTTTAAACCTGCACATCGCCCCAAAACGCAATCTTGGGTTGTTTCGGGGGTGAACTTTATCATTTTGAGCTAATGAAAGATTATAGAATGATGAACAAATGGGGCAAATCTTGTGTAGAAATACTTACGATAAATGTGTCATTTCAAAGATTATTCATTGAATTGCTTCGATCGGCGCCGACGATATGATTTTGAAAAGGTTTCTAAATGAAGAACGTGACGTCACTTCCGAATCATAGCATTCAAATTAAGTAGCGTTTAATTACATCCAGCATTCATAATAAAACGGAAGTCTAGCGGTACAATTCTCGCTTAGCACCCGGGAGGCCCGGGCTCGAATCCCGCATTCGCCTTTTTATTTTTTTTAACGAAATGATTGTTCTTTGATATAACGCAGAAAAAAACAATTTTTATTTACATAAACTTTATATTAGAGCTTAAAAATGTAAAAACAATATATGTCAACATATTGCGTTTTGGAGCGATGTGCAGGTTTAAGTGATTTCATATCTTTTAGGTGATTTTTTGAAAATATTTGCAATGTGTGAAAAGAATTGAAGCCCAAGATGTATTGTGGCTGATTCATTCCACTCAGGCGTTATTTCCTAAACTTCTTGCGCATCTCGTGCAAAGGTTGAAATAACACCTTTTTGAGGAATGATTCAGGTTTTGAGGAATGAGTCCAGGGCTCATATCCTAAATCCATGCGATTTGATTGTTTACCTGTGAGAGAACAAGGGCTAACCATGCTAAACCTGTGAATATCCATAGGGCTACAAACATCCTGTAGACTATTCGTAAGCCATTCTCAGTTATATTTAAGTCTCTACCTGGAAGACAAAGGTAGGTATAATGCTATTAATATATATTATTTCATTGATTAAAACCATTTTGGAATAATTAATTGCTACGTTTTCATATTGATGACAAATCATTGAAACTTGTGTTTTATGGAGCATTGTGATTGGACACTGACCATTTGACACTCTTTATGAAATCCTAGTCTGGATTTTGTCCATTACTATATATATAAACAAGGCATTAACATGCAAAATGTTATCACTTGCCATTTGTTACAGATGCCCAACTCCAAACACCCAATGCCAACTGTCAAACTCCATACAACATCCAGAAAAAGTTGGAGACTATAACAATATGTCACTACTTGTGGTGCATCCTCCGATCACAGGGCTTCAAAATCCAGAATATCTTCTTTCTTTTTACACCCTGCTATAAGCAGTTAGCATTTCCCCGATTAAGAACTCGCAATCTGATTGGCTGTCGCAACACTGCGACAGAAATCATGTATAAGTCATGGCGCATAATTAGATCACCTGATTCAGTTTAAATCGGGTGCTTCCAAATTGGTTATAGCAGGGGGAAGAAGGAGGTACAGATTCTGGATACCTGCTTAGGAGGATGCTTGTGGTGGTGACATGATAAAACTTATTCAAATTACCTGCTACATAGTCTCCAAAACCAACAGTTGTGAGTGTGACGAACGTTTAGTATAATGCCGTACCATAACTCCATTGTTGCACAAGGGAAAACAATAGGGCTGGCAAAAGAATAAATAAAGTCAATCCTAATATTATCTCTGTAACTATTAACAGTATATTTTTAGTTTTTTCCTTAAATTTAATGTTGTCCTTGAATGTTTTATCCTTGATTTTATTCCACAATTTTTGTAATTGTCCACCGATTCCTCCAAGGATAATGGCTGTGAATGGAATTCCAAACAAGGCATAAAAGATGAAGAACACTTGCCCACCAGTAGTTGCAGGTGATATATTGCCATAGCCTGGAAATAACAAAGAAAGAATCTGAGATTAAATGTATGGGATATCATTTTAAATAAATATACCATCATAATTTGATTTGCCAAAGAGAAAATAACATTTTATACTGGGAAGTCAAAGTAATGTCCATGGAACACAATTTCTCTCTAAAAGACAAACACATCTGGGATCTTTTAAGACACCTCCATTCCAAATTAAAGCGATTTTGTGAAAACAACCGGTGAAAATTGCCTACTGCCTGCTGCTAATGAAACCCCTGATCATCTACCCTAGTCTGAAACTTGGGGAGAAAAAAACTGAAAAAAATGTATAGACCTCATCCTCCTAAGAGTTACAGGACAGATAGTCTTGTTTATTGCACTGCTGAAGTATAGTGTGCTATAAACCAAGGTGAGGGGGTGTTATCACTTATTACCAGTAGGACTTACCAATGGCCTATGTCTGTGGGAGTTTAGCAGTTAGTAACAGTATGAGGATGTAAATCCCTGTCTTCACTTTAATTAACTTATTCAAAGTGGTTACCATAGACGGTGTATACATTGATTGAAGAGTGGGCGAAGTTTTCACATTTGAAACTGCAAAAAATATCTGTTATCAATTCATGAATAAATCAACTATAGCATATAAATTGGCATTGTAAATCAAACATAATACAGACTACAAGATCATACGCTGAACATTGTTCATACAGAAACTTAAAGTTAATAAATGTAACTCCCAAAGATCTCAAAATGCCTTCTACTCATACCTTCAAGTGAACATTTCCTTATCACAACTTAAATACTTATTATTGAAGGTAGGTTTCTGTTCTCTTTACTATATGTACATGTAGTTACTTTGACTTTACATCACCGGAACAAAATGGAAAAACTGCCAAAGTTAAATTTGGTAAGATTTTTTGTTTTCTTGCTTTAAAGCTAATGAAACCTTAAAGTTAGAGAATATAGTCTTATTTGAGAATATATCTTCAGTTTAAAATTTGTTTTTAAAATAAACCACAATTTATGTATTTAGTCCTTCACTTTTGACGTGGACTAAAGTAAATATAACAAAAGCAAGCGACTAAATGTAAGAATTGCTGCTTCATTTAAAAAACAAATTCCAAACCGCATACATATTCATAAGAAGGCATGAACATGACAAAATGTCACCACCTTTTGAAGGGCACTGATTGTCAACCAGATGTCAAATTCAAGTTGCAAAAGTAAGTTAGATAAGTTTCTCAGTACCCCTACCCCTATACCCGATTCACAAACTTTGTTTAATGGAATAATGAACACATGACTCATCAAACAAACAAACAACAAACAAACAAACGAACAAACAAACAAACAACAGACAATATACTGACCTATGGTGGTGACAACTGTTGCTGAGAAGAATATTGAGGCAGCTACATCCCAGTTAGATGCCGAATCTGTATTATTTGTGGCTATAATACCCTGGTCATATGCCTTGATTACGGTCTTTATCAGGAACTCAAACTGCTCAACTGATACACAGGAAAAGTTCTCTGAAAAACAAATCAAATGTAATTAATTCAGAATGTTTAACGAAGATTTAGGCTGATAATCAAGAAAGATATTGACAATTGTTGAAACGGTTGTCTCAATTTACAGGTCTACCAATAATTAGCAAGAGGCTAATTATAATAGGCATTCCAATCTGAAGCAGATTATTACATATTTTAAAGTAAACAACAAAAAGCTCACAAAAAACCTGAGATTCTCTTCAATTTACTTCAAAATGTCAACCAAATTCAGAATCAAGTCATACAGTCATAAAATAATAAAACAAGGCATCAACATACAAAATGTCACCACCTGCCATTTGTTTCAGACACCAAATACCAAATATGGTTTTTAGTATCAATAGTAGTTACATGAACCTTTGAAAAACTTACTTAGAAACTCAAAACGAGTTGCCTTTGTTATTTGTCTAGTTTCACTTTCATTTTGTTGTTCCAGAAAGTGAAATACTACCCCTCCCAACACTAGGTATAACCACAATCCCAAACCCATTGCCCCTATAGTTCTACATTCCATTGTGATGTTAAATATCCTCCTTTCACTATTGAACAATTAGTTTAATTTTGAGAATATTGCTATTTACTCCAGCTTTATCACAGAAGCTAAAATCCTATGTTCTTCCATGTATTAGTCCATGTAATATTGTGTATGTCCTTTTCAGTGACACTTTCTAATAATCTCACAGATACTTGAGTACATGCTATAAATCTCAGGTATTTATTATGATACAGCATGCTTTATAATCTCATCATTCAATCTGATTGTGATCTCCCATTATAAAGTTGATACAATGATCACAATCTGATTTGTTGCTTATGCATCATGATGCTGAATGTCTGCATAGTATGTTCAATCTAAGTAGAGGTCAAGTTTATATTATAGTTATCGGAGAGGTTAAGCTAACGATGTTTTTCACAACGTAACCGTGAACGCAAAGTACAAAAATTAACAAAGGAATGTATCGAGCGCTCATAGTTTTATGCGCGCTTAGTCTACTTCAGATACTACTTCAACGGGAACCATTTTACTCCTGTCTATTGAACACTATGCTGTCAATTTTGATTTCGATGCACAGTTGAATTCTTGCTGAACACGATGATGTATGTCATGCATGATTTAGCGCCAAAAATCTTAATAAACGAGCTCGTTTAAAATATGTATTAGAAAACCAGCTATAAAACCGCATCAATGACATACTATAGAATCATTACACGCTATGGTGTAGTCTAAACAAACACTGGATTTGAATGGCTATTTATATGAGAAGACTACATGAATTTGTATATGGTCGAGTGATACGTACAGGTTCAGTTTCGATTATATCACGGGATGTCATCGCCTGATTTGGTCAATGTTAGGGAGCAGGTCGTTTTTACAATAAATTTCAATATTTTCACACAAAATATTTTTTTACTGAAAAACTGCTCATTCGCAGAGAAAATGTACTAGCACATGCAATGACAATGTCAATCACGCTTCTGTACGAAATTCGGCGGAAGTCTTTTATAACCTAATACGAAGTTACTAAAAAAGGCGCGAACGCCCTACACTCAAAATGATCGTTTTTTCCATTATAACTTTTTAACGTAATTTAACGAAGGCTTCTAATTATTATCCAAGATAGTCTAAATACCGATTAAAATATTTCTTACTTCAAACAGATACGCCGTCTTTTATTCAATTTTTTAAAAAATAATAAAAAATAACTCTTGTCAATGTTAGGGAGCAGTCAATGTTAGGGAGCAAAATGATTTTATCAGAATATTAAAAATGTAGCAAATGGCCATTTAAAATATGTATGGCATTTATAAACTAAACAATATTGTTTGAATGATTATTTTAAACCCCTTGCCTTAACAAAATTTAACAAAATCGATAAAAAAAATTGTTTTGCATTTTTGTTATCTTCAGAAAATGGACTCTCAAAGATTTTTGACGAAGGAAAGTTAATTATTATCATGGATAATCTCAGTACATATTGAAATATTTCTTACTTCAAACAGGTACACCTTTCTTTAATTTTTTTTAAATAATAAAAAATAAGTATGATCAATGTGGCGGAGCAAACAATGCAGTGGGGCGAAATGGTTTTATCAGAATATCAGAGTAATTGGCCTTTACAAACATGTATGTCATTTATAAACTAGACAAGATTGTATGATTGTTTTATACCCCTTGGTATAAACCTTACAAGCATACAGTATTGCTCAGCACAATATACACAATTTAACCAGATACAATACCTTACAACGGCATATTAAAACGAATCATTCTTCAAACATGTAAGATAGCGTAATAAATGCGCAGCTGCAGTTGCTAGCTAGCTCATGATCTAGTAGCATGAAATGTAATGTTTTGTTATTTTAAAAATTATGTCTCCCCTGAACTGTAAATTTCAAAAATATTCTCAATAATTCCATGATAATTCATTCATATAATTACTGTAGTACATTGGAAAGTGAAATAAGTAGCTTGCACGGTGGATATGGATGACGCAGTCCAGCCACGTACTGTATGTGTAATCCCAGGTTAATATATAGGGTGTCCCCAAGTCTGCAAGTGAGCCGCTTTTTGACAATTAAATTCATTCAAAACTTAAATAAAGTAGCCTTAAGCCCAGTATACACCAATGGGGCAAAATCCCACTTGCCCATCGAGTCCGATCTTGCCCTATCGAATCCGAACTTGCCCCAATGAGTCCAACGGAGTCCCATGGTTGATGACTTTGCCCCATCAAGTCCCAACGTGCCCCATCGAGCCCCATGGAGTCCCATCAAATCCCACCTTGCCCCATTGGTGTATGTTGGGCTTCACATAACATGTGACCTGATCGGAAATCCCACGATGCCCCATGGAAAGAATGAACATGTTCATTCTCGATGGGGCAAGATGGGACTCCGTGGGATTTTGCCCCATCCTGCCCCATCGAATCCCATCGAGTCCAACGTGGGACCTCATGGGACTCGATGGGGCAAGATTATATGCAAGTTGGGGCAAAATCCGACGGAGTCCCATTGATTCCCACGGACTTCATGGGGCAAAATCCCAAAAGGTCCCACTAGGTCCCACGCCATGTTAAGTCTATGGAGGTCCCAACTTGTCCCATTGGTGTATACCGGGCTTTAGAGTATCATTAGCAAGTGGTACACATATAACAGAGATCGGTTATATACTGCATTGTCTGAGTATTGACAAATTGAAGTATACGTGTAAAAATCTACTATCATACATGTAACTGCGCAATGAGCCCTTCATAGCGTTTGTGCCAGCTATCAGGTGATACCCGGTCGTAAAGATAAGTGCGAGACTAACTCTCTTACTTTAATACTAGGAAAATATCAAATCATAGAACTGAAGGATGTCGGAGATTTCTCAAGCCTATATATCAGTTCAGATAATTTATCATCCACAATTTAGGATTGTGAACTGATGACATCATCAAAAAGTGTATATAACGATACATCCATTCATTTACAGTTAGAGGTCAACGAATAAAGAAGGAATGGTTCGCATCTAAATATTTCTAAAACGAACGTAAACAGGATTTAGCTGAAAATAAAAAATGCAAAATAACCTTTTCAATGATTTTCTTACAATTTTAACGCTTTCCTCCCCAAAGGGTATCAAATAATCATACAAACAAAATTGTTCAGTTTATAAATGCCATACATATTTTAAATGGCCATTTGCTACATTTTTAATATTCTGATAAAATCATTTTGCTCCCTAACATTGACTGCTCCCTAACATTGACAAGAGTTATTTTTTATTATTTTTTAAAAAATTGAATAAAAGACGGCGTATCTGTTTGAAGTAAGAAATATTTTAATCGGTATTTAGACTATCTTGGATAATAATTAGAAGCCTTCGTTAAATTACGTTAAAAAGTTATAATGGAAAAACGATCATTTTGAGTGTAGGGCGTTCGCGCCTTTTTTAGTAACTTCGTATTAGATTATAAAAGACTTCCGCCGAATTTCGTACAGAAGCGTGATTGACATTGTCATTGCATGTGCTAGTACATTTTCTCTGCGAATGAGCAGTTTTTCAGTAAAAAAATATTTTGTGTGAAAATATTGAAATTTATTGTAAAAACGACCTGCTCCCTAACATTGACCAAATCAGACGATGACATCCCGTGTATATATGCAAAGCTTAACCTCTCCATCATCAGCTACTAACGCTGACAGACCAAGATGCTTTTATTCAAAGGGTCTTGTCAATATTTTTAAAACATTCAATTTAAACAAATCATAAAAAGTTCATTCATATCATTTTTTATCTACCAGGCTGGTAGCCAGGGGGGCGGTTCGGGTTCAGTTCAGTCCCCCCCCCCCAGCCAAAATTCTTTCAAAATCATGCAGTTTATCACCATTCTGAGCACTTTTTGTGTGTTTTGGCCATTTATAGGTGAACACACCCTGGAATTTTTTTAAATATGAACCCCCTTGGCAAATCCTAGCTACGAGCCTGTCTACTATCGGAAGCTGTTGGCTGTGATACCTTGAGTAATATTCTGAAATATGTTGGAAATTGGAAATTTGTTTATTTACCCAAATATGACTTTTGAAAAAAACTGTTGGTCTTAATTTTTGAAACATTTGAATTTCCCTCCATCCTAACAGAAAAAGTATAGATTATTATATTCAACACTTTATACTGTAAATTCATTGTTTTCTGATAAGTAAAAACTACATTATTTCAACTACATGTATTATTAATTTTTTTATGTATACTTCAGAACATTTAGCAATGTTTTTAATTTTTTATGTCATGAGGTCATTCAATGATGTCACTGAGGGTGCACAATTTATTTTCAGCAGTTAAAATTGGAAGATGATTAACCCGGCTACCGATAATATACTAACCACTGGCGGATTAGGGGGGGGGCCTGGGGGCCCGGGCCCCCCCCCCCCTTGGGTGGGCCCAGAAAAAAAAATTGGGCCCAAAAAAAATGTTGGGCCAAAAAAGGCCTCCAGGCCCCAAAAAGTGGGCCTTTTTGGTCATTACTGGGCCTTTTAAGGCCTTATTTTTTAATTTCAGGCCAAATTTTGAAGAAAATGGGCCTCAAAATTTGGGCCCACTTTTGTGTTTTAGGGGCCCAAAATTTTTTTCCCCGCAAGCGCGGACGTTTTTTTCTCTGACTTGAAATTTGGGCCCCCCCCCCTTGTTGATTCCCAGATCCACCCCTGCTAACATCAACAGAAACCAATGGAAAGTCACCGATATCTCCTATCGATACTGTCTCTCATTGATTTACATGTGATATAATGTATAGGCATAGCCAGGGGGGGTGAGATTGGTGCGAAAAATTGACCTTTAGTGACCTTTCCAAAACGCTAACTTTTAACTTTTTTTAGTCACACTTTCAGAGGGCTGAAAACGCTATTTCAGCATGGTAAGGGTCATTTTGACCATGACCATTGTGATCCTGGTCACATAAATGATATATAGGAGGAGTACAACTGACTGAAGTTCAAAGCAGAACTCTGTTATCTTACTTCAAAAAATTCAAAAATCCACATGTTTTTTTCATTTCCTGTTTGGTGTAAATTTCTGATAACAACCCCAAGACCTAAAATGCTTTTTATTTAAAGCTTCTTGCACAATTTTGAAGGAAGTTGCATCAATTTTTGTATAATTCAAAAAAAATCTGTTTTGCCCTGCTTATCCCACTTTATCGAATCCTACGACCACTTTAGATTGTGGTGGGCAGTGGCGGATGCAGGGGGGGCCCATGGGGCCCCACCCCCCCCCCCCTAAGTTGGGCCCCGAAAAAAAATTGGGCCCAAAAATGTTGGACCAAAAAAGACCCCAAACAGTGGGCCTTTTTAGTAATTACGGGGCCTTTAAGGCCTTATTTTTTAATTTTCAGTCCAAATTTTAAAGAAAATGGGCCTCAAAATTTCAGAATTTGGTTTTAGGGGCCCAAAAGTTTTTCTCTCTGACCTGAAATTTGGCCCACCGCCCTTGTTGGTTCCCAGATCCACCCCTGGTGGGGGTCATAGGATGCGATAAATCCCACTGACTGAAAACCTAAAAGAATTTTGGCAATCGCACCAACTGAAAGCTGGCCACACCCCCCGGGGGGTTCACTGTATATAAAACTCGACGGGGGTCCTAGGCTGAAGCCTCAAATATCAATATGTTCCCATACCAATCTGTCAAATTTCAATATGTTCCCATACCAACCAAAATAACGCCCAAAGGCCATACCAAATGTCTAAATATAGGACCAATGCCATACCAAATGTCCAAATATAGGACCAATGCCATACCAAATGCCCAATTATGGGACCAATGCCATACCAAATGTCAAAATGTAGGACAATGCCATACCAAATGTCCAAATATGGGACCAATGCCATACCTTAATTCAAAGGAAATGAAATATAGGATCAATGTCATACAAATTTGGAACTACTGGACCAATGCCATACCACGAATGTTAGGTAACGTATCTACAACGACCATTCTCATACCAGAAGAGCAAAAGTCCGACCATTGCCATGCCTCAGAAGTCAGAAATTTCCGGGCATTCCCATACCAAATCCTAAAATATGGGTCCATTGCCATACCAAACGTTGAAAAAGGTACCCCACATGCGCCGAGGATCCCCGTCAAGGTTTATATATAGTGAACCCCCCGGGACACCCCTGAAATGCATCGTTGATCAGATATGCTCCGAATGTACCAGAGAGGATATAAATTTTATCGTTTCTGGGGGGCATGCCCACAAACCCCCGGCTTGCTACGGTTCTTCTACTATACCATTAGTCAGGACACTAGTAATAGATGTCGCTACGTGTCCCTGTCCACAGTGACCACTTGATCTATAAATCTTCCTTATTCAATATTAGACTGATTCTATTATATTGGATATTAGATAGATGGTGTTGGCTGTGTCTCTATTCGGTGTCATTGTGTACTAAACGCCATCTATGTATTGATTTTCTTATCAACCATGCATTTATTCTTCAAAACAAATAGCCTTTCCCAATGACCATGACATCTTGGGAGTCTGGGGCATCTTGAAGTCTACAATTATTTTTTTAGACTCAACAAAAGCATCGCTGAAATTCGCTAAATTACAAAAGGCCCCAGTTTTACTGGATTTTATACCTACTAGTACTATTCAAACCAAGGATTCTTGTGGATCATTTTGCTCACTTGCATATTCCGTTTTCTCTGACTATCTGCAAGCAAAACGGTTCTTTTCTTGAGGCATGTCTAACTTGCACTCTTTACATCGGCCATGATCTTGGGAAATACCCAGGGAAATTCCCTGATCACGTGACTGTTCAACAACATTACGTGCGCATGTCCTTTAAAAAACCGCGAACAAGATGGAGGGAAACGGAATTTCTAATGGAGTTTCTCCAGCGAAAAGACCTAGAAAACAGGACCTGAACACGGTCAATGTTGTACTTGGAGCTCAATGGGGTGATGAAGGAAAGGGAAAGGTTGTAGACATGCTAGCTACCACATCGGACATTGTCTGTAGAGCCCAGGTAAAATGGCAATAAAATTTCAGATTTATTTTTTTCTTCACCGACTTTCTGTATCAAAAGTATTTCATCATCAGTGTCATAGATAAAATTAGTCCACATGTATGAGGCAAATCATCTTCAGTAACATATGGATCTATAGTCCCCATAACAATTCTCTTAGAATCGAGAGATTCAGTTTCCTTTTCTGCAATAGACTAGCATTGGGTTCAGGGTTTGTGTAAAAAACGGATGACCGGGTACCTAACGTTGCTACCAGGGTTATGAATTTGATTTTTTGAATTTATCATTTTTATGCCTCAAAACGCGCAATTCACCTCTAACTCAATGTACCAGTCATAAAACCAATCAAGCAAACAACCAAGCAACCTTATCCCTAGGTGCATTCATTCACCCTCTGGGTCTCTGAGGATCGTGTTGGCCCCAGGGGTGCATAACGTGCAATGTAAATTTATCAAATTTAAGAAATGCTGAAAAGTCCGGATCTGATGTTTTTGACTTTTCTCCCAAGATCTTACCTCAATCTTGAAAATTCTTTCACCACTGGATAGCGGGACCAAAAATCTTCAAAATGAACCCATAAATGCCTCGCTTTATTACAGTAATTATGTGTAATCGTTGCAGATAAGACAATATTGCATTTCTGACCGGTCTTCTTGACATTTTCGCTGACCTAATTTCAAGTGCACATGCGTTGCATAAATCAGTGTGATGATCACGTGACGTGACGTAATTTGATGATCACGTGTTGTAATGTTTTCCAATAACCAGTTGGTAAAACTGCTATAGTGGATTCAATATGTTTGTTATCACGTCTTGTAACTGTTCTGGCTTCAAATCAAATCCAAACTTTGGTTTTATGTTATGCGAATAGACATCATTGATTTCTTCCATCAAATACATGATGGTCGAATGAATGATATAAACTCTGTATAGTTAAATAGATGGCAGCAATATTCAATGGCTACTCTCGTCAAATCTCGTGAGAATAGAAGCCGCCATAAAGATTTTGTGAACAGTAGCGACAAACGGCGATTTTGCTACAAAATTAGCACAATTCAACCTTCTACAACCACAAAGCTATGGTAATTTTTTGTATAAATCATCAATGTATCCATTTTGTTTATATTTCTCTGTAAATGATGCAGAGATTCTAAGCAGAACGTCAAAAATAATCAAGAAAAACTTATATTGGCATGAATTTACAAGGATAAACACCGCCTCTAATGCAAGTCCTTACGACAATCCAACGCATTAGAAGCGGTGTTCACCGTCTACCTTATCCCGTGCCAGGACTATAGTCCTGTAAACGTCTTATTCTTTTGCCTGTACGATTACAACATGGGAGAATTTTCTACGCTTCTTACACTTAAAATACCTACTTCAATAGATTCCTTGGTATTTTAGCATCAATCAAGCAACTAACGTTGTATTGTACATCATACTTTAATTGACAGTTTAAAATGGAAAATTACTTGTTCGTAATATATATATATATAAGAAATCGCCATTGTAGAAAACTATCATCGATATCCTGTCAATCACTCAGACAATAAATCAATCAACTAATGTCATATAGTAAAAATTTAAATGTTACAGTCAATATGGTACAACGAAAATGGGACTTCTGCGCATGTTAAAATTTTTCGTCAAAACTCAACTTTTGTTCAAGTTGATACGATTGTCTTTCGAACTAGAGACTTACTTATGGATATGTATTTCTGCTGACATTTCAACACCACACCACATAGAATTACGATGCAGAATGATAATAAAACACAAAACAACTACTAAATTCCACTTGTTATTTCACAGGAGGTAAAAATACAAACTGCCTAGATTCTTTGTAAGGGTCGTCAGACATCGGATTGGCCGCCATATTTGAAATGAAAATATCACTAAATAGAGGTCTGCGCATGCCTCAACATTTCGACTGGTTAGTAACTACTTTGACTTTAAAAATTAAGCAATCAAAGGACCATATTGAAGCTAGCAGTATATGTAAAAATAGAAACATTTATACATGTCCTAACTCTTGCATATTTTAGTTTGTTTTGTAGTTTAGCTATCATATCTGTGGCCTCTTATATTTTGATGCTTCTCTGCCATGTTATTTTCGGAAAAATTATCATGGCTGAAACTCCTTAAATTACAAAAGGCCACAGCTTTACTGCACATTAAACATAACTATCTGAAATATACAAAAGTTAAGACAAGTTTCTATTTTTTTATATACTGTTGCAATATAGTCATTTGATTGTTTATTTTTTAAATTCAAAGTAGTTCCTAACATTTGAAATTGAAGTTTAGTATATGTATGTAAACTGTAAAATGTATACTACATGTACTGAGGACTTGCGAATTCCATTGAACCTAATATATAGTTTTCAAGCATCCGCATTCTCCGAATTTTGACTTGTGACCACCACCTTTGTTCTTTTTGTATGACGTCAATGTTATTGGTGATCTGCGGTATAATTGGTAATATCATAAAGCTCATGGCATGGTAATATCCTCACATTATACTGGAATAGCGCTGCAAGTAGCATCAAATTTCAATACCAGTATCACATACACCTGATTTCGTACTGATCGGTAGTGTTGTGAAAAGTTTAAAAAAATCAAAAAAATGTGATTCGTTATTTAAAACCTTATTCTTTACCTTTTATTCTAATTCTGACACTCATTTGACCTTTATGTGCCTCAAGTTCCGCCTATCATACTAAAAGAGAGTCTGAATGAGAAAAGTTAGAAAACGAATTTGGCGATCTTTACATCTCGGCCCTCCATTTTGAAGAGCAATGAACTGAACACTTCTGGATAAATAATTTAGTAAATTTCTTGCCAATTTATGTTGTTTTACAAAAGAACAATGCAAAAAGTGCAGCTATGGTTCATTGAGGGAGAGGTAAGGTATACCATCTTCTTAACATGCTATTGCAGGCCTCGCGCTTAACTTTTTTTATCAGGTAGTTGTTTCACTACTTAGTGAATTTTCCAGGTAGCTATTTGAGAGAACCAGATAGTGAAGATTTCGATCTTTATTCTTATGACTTACCAGCGCAATAATAAGATATTACACTGTAGACCTAGTGATCTCCCAAGCAGCAATTGCGCTGCACCCACTTGAGATTTTGGTAATAGGCATGCACCCACCTGAGAATCAATTTGCACCTACTTGAAAATGAGAAAAACGTGAAAAATAGGCATATTTTTTCCAATTTTGGTCTAAATTGTGAAATAAGAATTTTGCACCCACTTGAGATAAAATCCTGGGGAGAACACTGCACTCTATTAGATATATGGACGAAGTAAAAAATCCCCGGGAATTTCATGTATGGCAAAGTTTTCTTGCCAAATATGACTAATTTGCAACATCAGAACGGAGTATAATAATGGAATGGATTGTTATCCCAACGAACGAAGTTCGGTAGGGATATAGTGAAGCCCTCCGTCCGTCCGTCCGTCAGTCCGTCAGTCTGTCAGTCCGTCAGTCAGTCCGTCCGTCCGTCCGTCCGGAAGATAACTCAAATACTAGTGGACGGATTTTCTTCATATTTAGTGGAAAGATGTATATTGATGAATAGTTTTACGCAAAAAAAAAATTTTTCAAGATGGCCGCCGCTTAAAAAATGATGGGACTTTTTCGCAAATATCATAAATTTTTCATTCTAAACCAAAGATATTAATATTATTGTTTGAAATTTTGGTAGTATATTCGCAACATCTATCTATTTCACATATATTCCGTGTTTTTCATCCTGACCCCCATGGGCTGTGTATGGGGGTCAGGAAAACAGAAATTTTCGCTAATTTTTAGATCTTTCTGAAGTATAGCTTTATTATACTCAAATGAAAGGCAATTAAGAGTAGATTGCAAATATTGTATCTTTTTTCTGATTCGAGCCTCGTAAAATTCAAAATGGCCGTCTAATGTACGATTTCGCAATCATTTTTCGATCCCTTCAAAGTATGGCTATATTATACTCAAATTGAAGGAATTTTGGAGTAGATCACAATTATGCTATTATTTTTCAGATTTGTACCTCAGAAAATTCAAAATGGCTGCTTTGCAGGAATTCGCAATTCTAAAATCTAAATTTTTCAATTTTAACCAAAGTAATGAGTATAATTGATTGGAATTCGGTAATTGATATTTTGTTCGTTGGGATTTGCTACTCCGCTGAGTTGCCATTATCTAGTTATTGGAGAGTTTACGGTAAAGATCGCTAAATGAACCAAGAATCAATAAACAAAAAATCAGTAAAAAATATTGCAGAATTCCCTAGTGGAGCCCCGCGAATTGAATGATATGTTCTCCCCGATTATCTTTATTATTTCCGCTAGAGACCGTTCGATATCGATCTGATATTATACTGAAAGCTATTTGTTTAATGATAGATCGTCATTTTCCATGTAAAAGTCGTAAGAATAACGAGAAATGTTAGAAAGAAAGAGGAAGTTCATGACCTTGACTGTCATGTTGACATGCGCAATAAAGCTGCGCAAAAGACTACTTGGTTAAATGCGGAAACGACTCTAAATTTGAACATTTCTTTCATTCATTTCAGCCTATTTTGAGATAATATTAGTTTAGAATTGTGTTAAAAGGACCCACTGATGCATATTCATCGGGAGGATGCATCGAATTACAACATGTGTCATTTTTATCACTTTTTAGTGTGAGTACTCTATTATCGCTCACTTCATTTCTCGGAAGTTCGATCTTTTTTCTTACCAAATCTTCGGGTCTGGCTGTTTGGAACTAGCGAAGTTAGCTATTTGGAGGAAATGACAAGTAGTGTTCTGGGAAAACAGGTAGCGAATCGCTACCTTCGCAACGCTAATTTCGAGGCCTGTATTGTCTTTATACAACATCCAGCATCTGATTTCAATACCGGCACTGAAGCCCTGTGCTACTTTCGCGCTACTCCCGATAATACTTTGATGCACTATACTGGAATATAGTGCTTGCAACGGTAATGGATCTCACTGCCGGTAAATTTCACCTCCATTACCTTACCGTTACCGATAATCGTTGATACTGATAATGTTCCTAAAATCCCGGGGAAAAACCTGAAAGTGAAACTAAAATATTTCGAAAAATCATTAACGAAGCTGATTTCTCAGCTTGATTTCCCGCTCACATCAACTACAGTGGATATATTGTATCATCGTGTATCTCGTGTGTGATTGTGTATTGTTAGGAAGTCTTTGAATTATAATATAGAGTGAATTCGATCAAAATTGATCAAACTATTTGTTTTTGTTTTTACTTCACCGAAATATCACGTCACGTGATTTGTTAATCTCGCGGCATGGGAGATGATTGACAGAAGTGGGTGGGGTTTTGCTTATCCTCCCGCCTTTTACGAATCCTTTGCAGTTGATTGACAGATTAGCTCTTCAAATGTGGAGATTGAAATATACATGATTGATAAAATATTCTTAAACGAACATTGTTTCGTAAATTTAACAATGGATCGCAATGCCAATCATCATGTTGCAGCAGCATGGCGATTATCGGCAATGGATTTTATTACCGGCAATTGAGAGTATCTACTGCCGCTGCCGACAACCCGGCATTACCGTAAGGCACTACTGGAATATATAGAAAAGTGATTTAACTTACCAGAAACCATGAAATAAAATGCTTAACATCAATAAAAAGTAAAGAAAAGTCATCTTCAGTCACCTTCTGGGAAATGTTTTTGTGTTGTTTTTGTTGGGGGTGCAAATGGAACTCATGCCTCTCGGGAACGGAACTCTTGGATGAAAAATGGAAATTTCACATTGTTTTCAATTTGAGTAATGATTACATTAAATATTTGCTAGTAGAAGTCTTAATTTTCAATGCAGGAATTATCAATAATCAAGTAAAACATTGGTAAATCTGGTCATAAACGTTTAGGCAGTGAAACCCACAGCGCTTCTATAGCGGCAAAATAGGTCGAGACTTGATTGTCAAGTATCCTATCTATTTCTTCAGGTCCTGGTTCTTTGACCACTTTATGACTTTTTAGTACTCAGATAAAATATGAATTGTTGACCATGTTATTTGTAGGGTGGTAATAATTAATTGCTGACCATGTTATTTGTAGGGTGGTAATAATGAATTGCTGACCATGTTATTTGTAGGGTGGTAATAATGAATTGCTGACCATGTTATTTGTAGGGTGGTTATAATGAATTGCTGACCATGTTATTTGTAGGGTGGTAATAATGAATTGCTGACCATGTTATTTGTAGGGTTGTAATAATGAATTGCTGACCATGTTATTTGTAGTGTGGTAATAATGAATTGCTGACCATGTTATTTGTAGGGTGGTAATATGAATTACTGACCGTGTTATTTGTAGGGTGGTAATATGAATTACCGACCATGTTATTTGTAGGGTGGTAATAATGAATTGTTGACCATGTTATTTGTAGGGTGGTAATAATGAATTGCTGACCATGTTATTTGTAGGGTGGTAATAATGAATTGCTGACCATGTTATTTGTAGGGTGGTAATAATGAATTGTTGACCATGTTATTTGTAGGGTGGTAATAATGAATTGTTGACCATGTTATTTGTAGGGTGGTAATAATGAATTGCTGACCATGTTATTTGTAGGGTGATAATAATGAATTGCTGACCATGTTATTTGTAGGGTGGTAATAATGAATTGCTGACCATGTTATTTGTAGGGTGGTAATAATGAATTGTTGACCAGTGTTCGTGCTAGCCATTAAAATTTCTGTGTCCCAGGGACGCAACTCATTTGAAAAATTTGAGTCCCCATCTAATTTTTTTGCGTCCCTCTTATTTCTTCACAAAGTTCAAGAAAATATTGTGAAAGTGAAAATAAAGTGGGCGATAATAGAGTGCTTACACTAAAATGGGATAAAAATGACATATATTGTAATTTGATGCATCCTCCCGATAGATATCTATCACTGGGTCCTTTTCACACAATTCTTAAGTAATGTTATACCAAAATAGTCCGAAATGAATAAAGGAAATGCTCAAATTAAGAGTTTTGTTTTCACATTTTAAAACTTGCGATCTTGAAGGTCATGTCAAGGTCGTGAACTTTTGCTTCTTTTTATTAACATTTCTCCTTATTCTGAAGACTTTTAGATGAAAAACCTCGATCTATCATTAAACAATTATCTTGATGTATAACATTAGATCAATATATAATGGTTTCTAGTGGAAATAATAAAGATAATCGTGAAAAACAATTGTTTCAATTTGTGGGGAACCACAGGGGATTTCTGCAATATTGTATGTTTTGATCTTCCATTTCGATTGCGGCATTTTCCGGAATATATCGGAACCAATCAAAATCCATGTCTCATACTGGAAACCCTGTTAATCTTCGGTAGTCATGATAGCCAATCAGATTTGTCGATATAAATATACCTGGATCATTGCTTGTATATCAAGGTAGTGAGTTTGAAAATCTTGATGAAAATCATGTTTCACCGCTACTGTGCTGCAGTAAAAGTTATCTTGAAGCAGTTTATAATTTTTGCGTCCTAGGGACGTAAGTTGATTTTGATTTTTACGTCCAACCTTCTGAAATTTCTGTAAAAATGGCAAAAAACGGCGTCAACGCGAACACTGGTTGACCATGTTATTTGTAGGGTGGTAATATAATGAATTGTTGACCATGTTATTTGTAGGGTGGTAATAATGCTGGGCATACAGTTGTTGTGGATGGAGCAGCTTATGATTTCCACCTTCTTCCAAGTGGTATCATCAATGAGAACTGTATCTCTCTTATAGGTAAGCAACAAATTAAGTTAAAGTCAATGTGAGCCTATTTACAAATGTTTTCCACAATAGACAGACATACTCGTAATTATGTCATGAACATTTTGCTACTATAAACACTTTATTGTTAAGTTACTTTAAAAGGCCTCCTTGGTATTTTTAACCACTCGAAACTGATTTGTAATTATCAAAAAAGGTATTTGGCACAAATATTAAAATGTTTCACAATTTGTGAAATGGAGTTAGTATTATGAAATCAGTAAATTGTTTCACAATTTCCACAAAGAGCATGAATGATTGCTTCAAGGCATGTCTTGAGGTCATTGCCACCTAATAATTTTTAAGATAGATCTTTATAACATTGTGAAAAACCTGGGATGTATTTCTCAAAGTATTATTTTGTCTGTTGTTCAAATAATGGTATTTTCTGAAATAGAATGTAATTTCATTACATTTAAAGAAATCATTTATTAATAATTGCTCGTGACATTGTTAGATTGTGCAATAACTCAGATGAGAGTAGATAGTTAAGAAAAACTAATTGACTAATTTTCTTTTCAAGATTAACCAAAATTTCAGAAGTTCAAACCTGACTTGAGATTGAACTCATAATATTGTGAACAACTAGGCGTTGACATTTCTGCATGTTGATTAAAGTCAAAAACACTACCATGCAATGTTCAAATCCGCCAAACCCATGTTACATCAATAACGGTACCATGAGCTCCTACTTTATCGTAATAATATAAAAACCCTTCAATGTTTTCAGGCAATGGTGTTGTTATCCATGTACCTGGGTTATTTGATGAGATTTACAAAAATGTAGAAAAAGGAATGAAGAATTGGGAGAATAGACTGAAAATCTCAAATAGAGCACATTTAGGTAAGTAGCTCATATTTACAAAATGCAATGCTTCACTTGGGTTTATAACACTAACAATGAGGAACTCATATTTTATGTTTAGATCATTGAAATCTTAGGAAGTATTATATATTACTTCCTGACACTCCAGAATCAAGACAAGAAACTTAGAATTTGGCATTTAACATAGATTCTTCATACATTAATCTCATATTAGTTTCGAAAATTGCATAGAACATTGATGACTTTGACCATTTTAGTTGCAAAAAGGTTGTTGCTAATTAAAAACATTATGTCACTGTGACATAGTCTCACTTGAAGGATCCATTGGACCATTAGGACTTAAAATAATTGTTTAAAGTACTAAGTATTGACATAATTTTACTTCGGTTAATAGGACCGTTGTAAGGTCTAGATAGGATATGTAATTAAAGGAAGTGACTTGTTACTTATTGAACAGATCTGAACACCCATACTTGAAGTATTTTGTTTCCCATATTCATCCATATTCTTTTTTTTTTTTTTTTTTTTTTATTTCAGTTTATCAAGTACAGTTATACAATATTTTTACATACATATAGTACACAATAATTTTACATGACTTTTCTTATATATAGCTCTTGTTCTAATAAGTATTCTAAATTTGGATGTTGACCATATTTATACTTGCTAATACAGTTTTTTGTTATTAATACAATATTATTTACATAATTCTCAATATATTTTTTCTTATTTGTATATTTAAGCAAAATTTCCATTTCTGTTAATTTTATAGAGCATCCAAATTTTGCATTTATTTTGTTCATTATTTCTTTCCATATATGTTTTACCTTTTTACAAGAGATGAAGAAATGAGCATATGAGTCTTCTTCATTTCTGCAAAATTTACAATTGTATGAGTTTGTCCCTTCAATTTTCCATTTAAATAGATGAATATTTGTGGGATATACCCTATGCAATATTTTGTACTGTAAGCTCTTTAATCTCGGTTCAGTAATATTTTGAATCATTTTCCAAATATCAGACCAATTAATATTTTGATATTCATTATTCCATCGTTGACAAGCTCCTGGTATGATATTTTCTTTTTTAATAATTAATTGTTTATAATCTTTCGACTTTGATATTTTTATAATGATATTATTGTACAATCTTTTATTCTGACCAAGTGCAATTGTCTTGTTTTTCAATGCATTTTGAATGACAAAATATTCAAGCATGATAGCTGCATTGTTAGGCATCATTTGTTTGAAGATATTTATATTCTTTAGTTTCTGTTGATTGTCCAGTACATCATTTACCAAATTGATACCTGCATTTTTCCAATTTTTAAAAAATATAACTTTTCCCTTGTAAGTTATGTTTAGATTGTTCCAAATATAGCTATTATCAAATATGACATCATCACATGTTTTATATTTGAACCAAGTTTTCAAAAGGAATTCATAGAAGATGGTTGTATTCCCCCAAATAATTTGAGGTTTTATAAATTTTAAGTCTGAATTGAAATGAAAAATACTGAAATCAAATCCAATCTTTGATAACATCATTTTACTCATGTTTTTCCAATTTGAGTTTTCATCCTCGATAAAACGCCTGACCCAGGACATAATAAGTGCCTCTTGATTAACAAATATATCAACCATGTTGATTCCACCTTTTAAGTAAGGCTGTCTCAACACTTTACGTTTTATTTTTTCTGAACCTTTACCAGATTTACTCCATATAAATTTGTGTATTTTTGAATTGACCTGTTTTAAATATTTGTCTGGACATTTAAAAACCATTAACATATGCAACAATTGTGATGCAATCAAATTTTTAACAACACAGACTTTACCAACCAGTGACAAGTTGCGTTTACTCCAATTTTTCATTAAACATTCCATCTTATCAATTTTTTCAGTCCAATTTGATTCTATTAAATTTGCTGGTTTGTGGTTTGAAAAGTATGTCCCCAGTATTTTTATTTTAGCATTTTCACCTACTTCCCAGCTGATTCCTAAATGCTTTTCAATATTATTTTTATTTCTTCCGATCCACATTGCTTTTGTTTTTTCCAAGTTAAGTCTGAGTCCCGATGTTAAGTAAAATTTGTTTGTATCATCTAAAGTATGCTCTAACGATTGCAAATCTTTAACAAAGAGGGTTGTGTCATCTGCATAGCTTGTTAACTTAATTTCAGTATTACAGTTTTGAATTTTAATTCCTTTCACATTTTGATTTTGACGAATTTTGCAAGCAAAGATTTCTGTTGATAATATAAAAAGTAATGAACTCAGTGGACAACCTTGCCTCAAACCTTGATCTAAATTGAAAAATTTTGTGAATAATCCATTATTAGAGACTGTTGACTGTGTATTTTTTGTGAAAATTTCTATCCATCTTTGAAATTCAGGACCAAAATTGAATTTTTCAACAACTTTATAAACATACTTCTTAGAAATAGAATCAAACGCCCGTGAATAGTCAAGAGCGACCATAATACCTTCAATGTCATCATTATAAACGTAATTCATTATGTCATCTATCAATCTTAAGTTTAGATGTATACCCCTTTCCTTCAAATATGCATTCTGGTCACTTTCAACCAATTTTTTAATTACAGTCTGTAGTCTGTTGGCCAACACAGTTGCCCCTATTTTATAGTCACAACAAGTTAATGATATAGGCCTGAATGATTTTAAACGATTTCTTGGAATATTTTTGCCTTTAAGTATTAATACTATTATTCCTTTCCTTTGACTGCTAGAAAGTTGCCCTGTCTGAAACCCATAATTTAATGAATTAACTACTAAGCTTTTTACTTTCGTCCAAAACATTTTGTAGAAGGCAGATGTTAATCCATCAATCCCTGGACTACTGTCAGATTTCATTTGTTTAATAGCTCGTGCACATTCATGTTCATTAATCAAACCTTCACATTTTAATTTGTCATTATCATCTAAAGATGGCATTTCAAGGTCTATTGCAAAATCATCTAACGTATAAATAATATCCCCATTTTCCTTATACATTTCACTGTAATATTTAAACAGTTTTTCCATAACTTCACTCATAGAGCTTGTATATACCCCATCATCCTCTAACACTTCAATGGCTTTTATTTTTCCATGACTTTTCTCTAATGATAAGAAATAGTTTGTGTTCAGTTCACCTCGTTCTACCCATTTAACTTTTGATCTTAATTGTGCCCCTTTAGCTTTCTTATTTGCCTGAATATCATATTTTACTTGTAACTGTTGAACTCTATTAATATTTTGCGCATTTTGTTCATTTACTAATTTATCTTGTGCCAATTTTAGCTCTATTTCAATCTGTTTTAACCCACATTTTTCTCTAGAAGCACGAGTTTTGCTAAATCTTATACTTGCATCTCTAATAACACATTTACATGTATCCCATAAAATTTGATCGTTGACTACATTTTTATATGAGTTAACAGTGTCATCAATCAGTTTGTTTATCATTGATACATATTCTTGGTTTTTTAAAATTTCATTGTTTAGCTTCCAAAATCCTGTACCTCTGTCCGAGTTTTGCTCTTTTATAGAGACTGTAGTACCCATATGATCAGTATTTGAACATGGTATAATATCAGATTCAATAATGTTGTTACTGAGACTGTTATTGACAAAAATGTAGTCAATTCTTCGTGCAATAAAGGGATTATTCCTTGACCAAGTGTAACTCTTTTTATCAGGGTTGGAAGATCTCCAGACATCTACAAGATCATTCACATTAACAAAATTATTAAATGCCTGGACTACATTTACATTATGAACATTTCCAGATATAATGTCATTATCATTGTTAATAACACAATTCATGTCTCCCGCAACAATGCAATCATTATCAGAATATTTCCCATAGATTTCAAGTAATTTTCTAAAGAACATAATTTTTTCCCCATCCTTGTTTGGAGCATATATGTTAAAAAGTGTTACATTTCTACCAGAATATTTGATCTTTATTATTTGCACCCTACCATCACAATTTGCATCAACTCTTTCAATCACTTCTATATCAGCTTTTTTGTTAATCAATATAACCTGCCCTCTACTTTTGTCACCTATACCAGGAATTCCACAGATTTCACCTCCCCATTGAGTTCTCCATGAATCATGTACATTGGTATTAAAATGAGTTTCTTGTAAGAATATTAAGTCAAAATCATGTTGTTTTATCCAATTAAAAATGGTTTTACGTTTTCTAGTGTTTTTCAGGCCTCTAACATTGAGTGAGCATATTCTCATGGTATGTTATTTGGGGGGGGGGTTATTTCTTCTTCTTGTGGTGGTATTTTTCCTTTTTTGTAGGCTTTTGTCCGCTGGGTGGTGTAAATTCTGGAACTCTTTTACGAGATTGTTTATTTGGTGTTTCAAGTTCGTGGAGGTTTTTGTTTTGTTTGGATGGTTGTTTTTCTTCAGGATTAGGGTCATTTTCTGGTTCATGAAAGGTATCATCGTCACTTTTGTCGCTTGTGTCTGTGTCATCATTTTCAGATGTGACTATTTGGTGTTGCACTGGTGGCAGCTGTGCTGAACATTGGTTTCTATCTTGATTCATTTTTGCTTCATGATTTAGTGAAGGCTTTGTTGTCTGTTCTTGTGTCTGAGTTTCTCCTCGCTTTGTTTCTGTTTTGGCTGTTTCTGTGTTATGAGGGCATTTGTAGATGAGATGTTCAGTGCTCCCGCATTGTCTACATCTGGGTTTGTTTCATCCATATTCTATATTTCTTTTAACTCACATAAAATTGGGAGTTCAAGGCATCTAAAACAATTCATCATGCCTATTCACCTGTAAACATTTATAGCTATTGCCACTCTTTGGGTCTATTTTGAATTTAAATTATGACGTTTTACTTATGGGCAAAAGTCCGGGTGGCATTCTCCATTGATTAACAAAGACTAGCTTGATTAAAACATGTGAAAATAGATGAGCCAATTAGCTGTAGAGAAAAGAGTATGATACAATCCTTTGTTAAGTGGTTTCTTTATAGATTCTGATAGCTACCAGGAGTTTTTGTCAAGCTATGTATCAATTTGATTTTTTTATTGAACTTATTAATGTTTGTTACTTTTTATTTTATGTGAACAATGGTCTCTTGGGTATAATACATTCTCTGTTTTGTTCCCCTTTGCCTAATAAATCCAATAGAATGTGCTCTATTCCTTGATTTTTCCATTCTGGAATGCAACTTGAGGTTTTCACAAACATAATAATCATTTAATAATGATATAATACATGTCAGGGGTGGATCGGGGAACCAACAAGGGGGGGGGGGCAAGTTTCAGGTCTAAGAAAAAAACTTCTGCTCTTGTGGGGAAAAACTTTTTTGGCCCCTAAAACCAAAAAGTGGGCCCAAATTTTGAAATTTTGAGTCCCATTTTCTTCAAAATTTGACCTAAAATTAAAAAAGGCCCTTATAGGCCCAGTAGTGACCAAAAAGACCCCCCCCCCCGATCCACCAGTGCATGTACATACTCTGTTTTGTTCCCCTTTGGCCAATAAATACAATAGAATGTGCTTTACTCTTTGATTTTTGCACTCTGGAATGCAACTTGAGGTTCAAACAAATATGATTCAACTCAAATCAGTAAGCGACCGTAAAAGTAAATGATGAAAAAATCGATAATGCTTCTTATCATTCTTCATCAATCCTAAATGCAAGTGTGTATATAGATAGCACTTTGCATGACTGTGTGTTTTTATATTCATTTTATTTATATCAAGTTTATTTATACAGCTGATTCTGCTAAACAGCTGTAGAGCATCTTCATTGGAACTCCATTGGTTCTGCAATAAATTAGCCTATTTTCTAACTTACCCCAAAAATTAGGGAGTAGCTAGCTGTAACTACTGTTACCCTCTCAGTGCCTAGGACTAGGATAGACAGTTTTGAGGCTAATGTACAAGATCTTAATTCCAAAGTGCTATATTATCATTGTTTTTTGCTTTTTGATAGGCAGATAGCGCCATTGGTAAATTTGGGTTCAAGTTAAATTTTTTATGGATATAAGTCTTATAAGAGTATAGGCACTAAGTGTGAACAATAACAAGTGAGTTTCAAAAAAGTTCAATCCAGGTCAGCAGGTATATTCATTCAATAAAAGGAGGGAAATGAGATTTGTCTGTATACAACAAGTGTTATATAAATAAAGGCTCATTGTGGCCAAAAAGTTTGTAACTTTTTATTTAATTCAAAAACCTATTATACTGTAGTTTTCATATTTACTTGGCTTGTTTACAAGTGCTTAAAACCTGTTAGTGTTAGGCACTGCTTACTAAGCAGTTAATGTAATACATATGGATTATCCTCTTCTAAATGGCTTAGCTAATTTAGAAGATACAAGAGAAGATATGAGATTAGATTCCCTTATATTTTTCATCTACTGAAATAACCACTTTACACACCTCCAAAGTTCGCAACCAGTTGAACTGGTAGCTTGATCCAGTTTTAATATACAAGTACATGTACATCTAATTGCAGTACACAGCAACCTCCTTGTTGCTGCCAAATTGCTAGCCTTGTCCAGATACCATTTGGTTGTGTGATTCAAATTATGATATATGAGCCAAATAGGGGTATATTTTAGGTTTGAAAACTGGGTTAAATGTTACTTTATCGCCTAAATTCAGGCATGTAGCCAGGTTTTGCCAAGGTTGTTCTAATTTAGGGGGGTTTAGATTAATTGTCAATTTTAACCAAATATCACTTGAAAAGTGCTCAGAATAGTGAAATGCTGCGTGATTTTGAAAGAATTATTGGCTGTGGGCCTGAAATTGGGCTGTTTACTTCTGTTTTTTCAAGGGCAGAGAAAACTAAATGAAATATGTACTTACTAATGTTGAACATGATACACTATAGATAAGTATACCCTTGTATACATGCAGGGTTTTATCTGTTCAATCATCATGCTGTTAGTAATAGTTGTTTTTACCAAAAATAATTTTCTTTATGTTCATATCTCGTGACCTTTTCGTTTTAGGCTATTATAAGTATATTTAACCTCTAATGATAATCATATTCTCATTAGTGATTTTATTGATAGTTCATGATGATCAGCAATGAGTGAAATTAGTTGAATTAGTTAGTGAATTAAACACAATTTAAAAAAAATTATTGTAAACAGGGGTTTCACTAGAATTTCTCACAACAGGCAAAATTAATGGAAATCATAAATTTGACTTGGAAAAATTGAAAAGTCCCTAAAAACAACAGGCGATTTTATGAAAAGAAACGGTGAAAATCCCCTGTTGCATTCTGCTAATGAAACTCCTGGTAGAGTAAAACCTGTCTAATCTGAACGCCTCTGTTACCAGCCAAAAGTGTTCAGATTAGCAGGTGTTCACATTTCAAGGTTTTCATAATATGTTAGTATGGGAGATAACAATATTAGGACCAAGAAAAAAAGTGTTCACATTGACAGGTGTTCAGATTAGAGAGGTGTTCAGATATACAGGTTTCACTATATTTGGTCTGAATTATAGCTAGCTATGTGAATAATGAGTTTGGCCTACCAACATAAAAAATATTTCAGTGCAGCTTTCCATCTATTTAGGAATGCACCGTGATACCTGTATATTCACCTCTCTAATCTGAACACTTCTCAATGTGAACACTTTTTCTCTGTCCCAAATTTGTTATCTTCCATTGACCTACATGTTGAAAAAACCTTGGACCTTAAAAAAATCTTTGCTTACTTCTTAAATGCACGTACAGTATACAGTGATCTCCCCATGTCACTTTTACCGGGGGTTCCCCCTACTTGAAACCAAAGGCCCCCCAGTTGGCACCCAGTTGGAATCTCCACTTCAACTTCTGATTTGAAAAATGAGTGAAGTAAGCACCTTCACTGAGATATTGTGAGCATAGCGAGTGCTGATTTTTTCAGACTTGAAATCTTTTTGGGGGAGAACACTGGTATACAGCTTTACAATGCTAAGGTTTTGACTTGGGATATTTGTATATTAATCAATTAAGACTTCATTTTTTTTAAGGAAGTAATACTTCCAAGAACTGATTGTGTTTTCCATTTTCATTGTTTATAACATTGTTTATTAAATTATATAAATAACACCCCTTCTCAGTTGATAGCTTATTTGTATGGTATCCCCCAAACCCCGTGTATTATATTCAAGTCACATTCACATATCTAAGGTTAAATTGAATAAAAAGGTATATATGACATCATACATAGACAAATATTATCTCTTTCTATTTGAATCTTCAACAATTATTCAGAGTACTCACTGCTTTATAAAAGTACAAGTTGACCAGGAGATTAGTAAAACTAGATTAAAGGCAGTCTGTAGGTTTCATTGATAGTGAACAGAGCAGAAGCTTCATGATACGATTCAGCGGCAGCGGTATCCATTAATAATTTTTTTTAAGTTGCTGTTTGACAATGGCAGTGGAACAAATACATGATTTTTGACAAAAAATGTTGACAAAACTAATTTTGTAAACCTCAACCAGATGAAAAATGTAATTTTAAAACAATCAAGTGTTTGTGTTAAAATTATTATTAGGCTACTAACACTGCACATGTACAATGCTCAAGGTATAACTAAGATAGGATGAGATGGGTAGGATGAAAAGTTTTACAATATATAATCTTCAAAGTGTGTTCTATATTTGATCAGATAACTTCTTTCAGATAATAACTTAGGATTGCATGAGGAACTTTGGAGTGTTTTTGCTGCCATTTAAAAAAATGAAAACCATGAATTATTTAAGAATCAGTAATAATTTTTCGATATGTTATTTCAGTGTTTGACTTCCACCAGGCAGCCGACGGCCTCCAAGAGCAAGGAAGAGGAAGTAAGAGTATAGGAACTACCAAGAAAGGCATTGGTCCCACCTATGCCTCAAAGGTAAGCACAATGTACCTACCAACTGAATAATTAAACATGGTTATTTATCAAGTGTCATATAGAAATGTATAGATATAACCTTTTCCACCTTTTTCAAATGACAAGATATTTATATTTAACATTTTCGTAATATTCTTTTTGTTCAATACAATTAAATTGTAACATTTAAACTTAAAAAATTTAAATTTTAAAATTAAAACTTTTGATATTTAAACTTTTTTAAACTTTTGAAAAAATTCCCGGGGGCGGGATGGATATATTATATCTGCCCGCATTTGGCCTGGAGCGGGACATATACAATATATCCTGCCCGCTCCTCAGATATGATATATATTCCCGAGTGATATCTACCCCAAACCCACTTAAGTATGAGATACAGCCCGTTTCATCAGGGGAAGTGCTCAAATTTGTGAGGTTTTAAACTTGACAGTTATGACTAAATATTTGTCATTTTTTATTATCGCACTTTGAAAAAGTGCTATATTGTCGTCGTCTTGTGCTGTTGGGCGGGCGGGCGGGACAGAAACCAAATCTTGTCATCAAATTTCCAGGATAACTGCTTACCTCTTCAACTTGAAATTTTTACAGATGCAAGAGCAGACTAGTACCAAGATCTGATTAGGTTAAGGGCATGCTGGGTAAACTACGTGGCGGCCATTTTGAATTTTTCAACAAATCTTGTCATCAAAATTCCAGGAAAACCACTTATCCGTTCAACTTGAAATTTTTACAGATGCAAGAGCAGACTATTGCCAAGATCTGATTAGGTTTTGGGTATGCTGGCTGAATTACATGGTGGCCATTTTGAATTTTTCAATTTGGCGGCCATTTTGAATTTTTCAACTTGCTCCAAATTGACCAAATTTTTTAAAAACATCTACAAGTTCTCAAAAGTTCAAATCTGACCTTAGATTTCAGATTTGACCTTTCATTCACCTTCAGTGACCTTGAGAAGGTCAAAAAAGTTGATTTTCTAAATTGATATTTTGGATTTTAGATGCAAGAGCAGACTAGTGCCAAGGTCTGATTAGGTTTTGGCCATGCTGGGTAAATTGCATGGTGGCCAGTTTACTCTTCAAAGTGCGATATTTATCACTGTGTGTCTTGTTAATTTAAGTTATTATTTGTATTTTAGATCATACTTTTTGTTCATAGCAAAATAAAGGTGATGTAAATAAGATTAAATCATACTTTGAACTAACAACAAAGACAGTGAGTGATACAAATTGTTTTTGTTTTTATATTCCAGGCCACCAGAAATGGCATCAGGGTCTGTGATCTCGTTGGTGACTATGAGGATTTCAAAGTCAAGTAAGATATCTTCATTTTCTACTCATGTAACGTGTTATCCATCTTTCTTTAACTCCTTAATTTAATGAGATATTTGGGAACTTTTATTGGACATAATATTTAGGATAAATAGGGGACATATCGGTGTTTAATTCAAAATCGTCCCTGCATTATAGTTTTACCCCTATATGACAGTGAACCAATTAGATCATTGGCTATATAGTGTTATATTAGGCACCATTAAGGCATATAAAGACTTGGGTAAAATTTATATTTTTTGTTGTTTTCAGGTTCACCAACTTAGCTAACCATTTTCAGAAAATGTACCCCAGCATCCATATAGACGTAGATGCTGAACTAGACTCATATAAGGTAGAGCATCTTCTTTCTTATGTAAAAGGTAGGCATTATCAAACATTTGGGAATGTCTTACTTTTCACCAGATGAGCTTGCAAGTGGTTGATCACAATATATGGTATGAAGAATGTTTTGCTTGCATGTCATGTGTTTTATTTATTATATGTGTCTAAGGTTTCTTTATGCAGAAGAACCTGTGAAGGAGAACACCTCTCTAAAGGCAACTTCTCAAAATGTGAACACTTTTTGGTCCTTGCTGTGTTACACCTTATCATTTTTCTCTAGATTAATTCCACACATTGCCTAGATTTCCCTTTTGGTCGGTGAAAACAAAAAAATGCTCCGCTAAGGGTCCAGCCCAGTGGGGATAGAATCCATGACCTCGTTTTCTGGGCAAGTGATTTCAGTTTCATATGTGCACAAGCAAAGTAATGAAATCATATGCTAATCTTTCTGTTTTACCTTTCAGGATTGGAGGGAGAAGATGAAACCCCTAGTTGTCGACTCTATATCTTGGATGAACCAGGCACTAAAGGACAAAAGCAAGGCTATCCTTGTCGAGGGGGCTAATGCCACAATGCTGGACATTGACTTTGGTATGAACATACCTTTGATTAACCAATAAGGGTCTTAAAAAGGCATCTCTATTGATAATTGTGATTCGTGGTGCTCATAAGTTCAATAGTAACAGCTGAAAGAAAAGCGTGATTAGGAATCATCATTCTTTCATTCATTGTGAAATTCAGGAGAATTAATAGTGTTGCATCAAGTCCTGACCCCCTTCATATACAGGGTACATACAAGATAAGGGTGTGCAAGATTAAACCCAAATGAGACTGGAGTAACTCTCTTTTCCCTTCATTGAAAAAACATGGTGTCTGTAACAAACAGCAGGTTTGCATGTTAATGCCTTGTCCTGTGTTTGTCTTGGTGCGACATTTAAATATGGGTGGTGGCACCAAAACAAACTTCCCCTAACACTAAATAGAGTTACCCATTCAAACTTTTAGATGTTAATGATATTTGAATTGTTTGTCAGGTGCTCAAATTTCAAGAATATTCCTTTATCTTGGTACAATTTTGGACACCCTGTATTTTACCTGAGTTATATTGTTTGTTATAAGTGTATATCCTAGTGTTACCATGGTTGCCATGACACTATGTTGTTTGTTATAGGTGTATACCCCAATGTGACATCATCTAACTGCAGTATAGGAGGAGTATGTACAGGGTTAGGTGTACCTGTACAGTGTGTAGGAGAGATCTATGGTGTTGTTAAGGCCTACTCAACCAGAGTTGGGGGTGGATACTTGCCTACTGAACAGCTCAATGTAAGTAAAACATATCAATGAAATATTTCTGAACAGTATGAGTTATGAATATAGTGAGTTTCACCCTCCCAAAGCATGTGCAATCAAAATGTTTTTTTATTTATTTTTATATGTGAGTTTATTCCAATTGTTAACAAAGAATACAAAAATCGATTCCCAAAGTTTTAAGAAAAACATTAACGTCAATCAAAGACTGATGATCATTATTTGAAGACGCAAACATCGAAGTTCGAAGAATACTCATCAAATACTTACCTATAGTGCAGTTTTTCCATAAACTAAAAGATAGCCTTGTTCTTTAAGTGATTGACTGTTATTTAACATTAAATGAAGAATGTACAGTACTCCCCTCATGAATATTCTGTTTTGTAGGAGATTGGAACAACTTTACAAGAAAAGGGTCACGAATTTGGCGTGACAACGGGAAGGAAAAGAAGGTGTGGCTGGTTAGATATGGTGGCCCTACGTTATAGTAGCATGATCAATGGCTTCACTGCGTAAGTTAACATAAGGGTTTGAAAGCCTTGTAAATATGCTATATTGACTTCTTCATGTACTGCTTCATCGCTTGACTGATGGTCAATGACCAAGATAGGTGGCGCAAGTGTTTTAAATCTTCCAGTTATTTTTATGTGGTAACTGAGCATAGTGGCAAATGAATGTTCCGACATATAATGGCAGTTCTGCAATATTGATACAAAAATATCTTCGTAAAAATAAAAAGGAACATTTGAGAATGCCTTGGCAAATAAAAATATAGATTTTAGAATAAAATATAAATTCTTTGATATTCATAAATTACTTTTTTATGAACTAAAATATTGATGTCTTGACTTGTTTGGAATTTCAGGATAGCTATCACTAAGATTGATATTCTTGATGACTTTGAAGAAGTAAAGATTGGTGTCTCATACAACATAAATGGAGAGAAACTAGAATATTTCCCTGGTGAGAAACTACTCCATCCTAATTGATTTTTGATAAACTCTGGGGGCCAGGACAGAAATTCTTAAATATGGTGTATACTCACTTTGACAACATTTTCAGTTAAAGGGATGTCTTGGACAAAACTCTACTAATAATAGGAAATGATTTCATCAACAAAAACCATAATATCGTATGTGAAAGAAAGAACTTTGTACTACTCTATGGAGCCACTTTTAGTTGCAAGTTTCGTTTCCAAGATGCCCCTCTAACTGATCTAGAGTAATAGCTGTGTCATCTTGAAAGTGCGGTACAAATACTGTACTGCCGGTTAATTTTGCGAATTTTGAGAAAATATGATTGCGTGGCTATTCACAAGTTAAGGTACTGTTATTCTCTGAATCCTCAAGCTCTGTAAATAAGGTTACCTCATGTACAGTAAGTACACCTACCTAATGTCATATTAAGATAGGATTTACAAATACTACTAGATCTATTACTACTCTATTACATCGTCATTTTCAGTTTATTTGATCTAATAAGCCAATGTAACTGACATTGCTTAGTATCCCATTTATCGCCTAATAACACTGGACAAATGTACAAGTCAAGAAATAGAATGGAGTCCCAGGTAATTTCACAAATCCCTGGGAATTTAATTGACAATTTCGCAAAGATTAATTCTCGAAATTTTACTACAATCGCAAAACTAAATCCCACGCAAAAAATACTGGGAGTACAGTATGATGTACAGCATTAAATGGTAATCAAGAAAATCGAATTTTTCCCAAGCATAAATTGCAAAAAACAGATTGAGAGTCTCCACCAAAGCTATCAAAAATAACCAAACATACATTTATAAATATGACCTTACATACAATTAAATCTGTTGTCAGCAAAACATGAAGATCTAAAGGACGTTGAAGTTGAGTACATCACTCTGCCTGGCTGGAAGTGTAGTACAGAGGATGTGAGGCATTTTGACAATCTCCCTCTAAATGCACAGAACTATGTTTTAAAGATCGAAGAGCTCATGGAAGTTCCAGGTAAGAACATTTCATTGTCAAAGAAAAAATTACAGGTACCATATACATGTACATTTTCAGTGTATATAGATGTGTTTTAACTACTATTGCCCACAAGTTGAATTTTGTACAAATTCTTTTTTTGAGTTTGCGTATTGGCTAGTTTTGGTTGATAATTGCATTCTTTGAATTGTGTCATAATTTTAATGTTTAATTTTTATCTCATAAAATGCTTGAATCAGATATTTTGAATAAACACTTATATTAAATGGTTTTGTAGAACCAGGTGCTACAGTGATTGTATTCTAAGCTTAGAATCTAAATGCTATTAAACTATCCCTTACCAATGGATGCAGGTAACTTCATGATAATATGTGACTTTTGATTTTTTCCAGTAAAATGGGTAGGAGTAGGACAAGCCCGAGAATCAATGATTCAGATATTTTAACTCTTTCATGGCAAGGCTAGCGAACCTCACACATCAAGGTTTATCAGGTCTGCCTCATTGCAAAACCAAAACACATAATATGCAACGGTTAACTTTCAATATGGACACTTGTCTTTGTGTAGCATAGAGAGATTCACCTTGGGATTTACAGCAGAATTTCCAATAACAAACTTCTGATATTTGAACAATGAACATTAACATTGCACCTGGTCATTGTCAATGAAACAATGGGCTATAACCAACATGGGAAATGGGCTATAGCCACTATTAGATATAATTTTAGTGTGTTCAATCATGGCTGTGATGAATCCTTTTCATTGGAATGTGTGAAACGAAATCTCTGTTGATTGAAATGTTAGACAATGCATGTATTTCACTTGATGTATGTGGCAGCAAATCAAAGTTCTGTTCACCATACCTTTGCTCTTAGATCATACTTCATAGAGGAATATTTTAACGATTGTGTAATGTATAGGATGTCTTGTCTTGGCAAATTTAGGCATACATTAGTTTAACTGTACTTGTATATAATCAGAACATTTCAAGCGTTCTAAATACAAAATCTGTTGCGGGTGTTTGAATCTACTCAATTATTACTCAGGGTTGATATTTAATGGTAAACAATCATATAGGGATCCATTCACATTACATGATATAAGCATAATAGAAATAAGAAAATGTGAGAAGAACTACAAGGAAACAAATTGGAACATGGTTTCGTACTGTTAGTATTATTGAGATAAATGGGGTCAGTGCTAGATATTGTCACAATTTTATGTAAAGACGAGGATTATCCATTTCTTCTTGGCATGTAGTACTATTATATTGTATTGTATTTTGTTTACCACCAATGAAGGTGAGCAATACCTCTTGGGTATGTCCCGTATATATACGGTCGTAATTTACGTAATTAACACGGAAGATAGACCCGGAAACCCCTCCTTGAAGGAGCCCTGTGTTCTTTTATGTGCACTTATACATAGACATACAATTACACACCACAGCCTTTTGTACGAGTTGCGGACCACTCAGTCAAACACCCTGAAGTACTTCACGCAAACAAGCAAATTTAGTCTTGCCTGAACCGGGGATCGAATCCGGGACCTATTGCGTAAGAGGTACCTGCGCTACCGCTGAGCTACACGGGTGGACTATTGCTGCGCCAAGCTCAAATCAGTTCTGATTTGCATGTACTGTATGGTTTAAATGAAGTGGGCTTAAATATCAAAATATTTATTCATTATTATTAAATATGTGTTGGGAGTGAGTGTTTTAGTTTTTATACCAATCATGAAATCGGTGAATCTTTCACTTCATGTTCCTTTTTAATTAGAAGTTACGAGATGTAAAATACAACCTATATTTAATGCACAGGGTTATTTGGAAGTGATTATTAAATAATGTATCTTTATAACTATCATGGGATTTTAGTTTGAAAAAAATAGAGCCAAACCATTTTTGAATATCCTTTATATTTAAATGTTCACTCCACAGAACATACAAGATGCATGCATACATGGTTAGAAATTCTAATAGAATTTGCAAAATTGTGACTATTATTCTTTTTAACAAACTGTATGGTATGGTGTGCACTGTGCACCACATATATTTTAGTTTAAATTAGCACAGCATAGGATTTGATCCTACGTTTTCAGATTAACTGATTAGAATGTTTCCATAAGTTGTTAGACTATATTCAGTGTAGTTCCATTATTCATTAACCATTACTTGCTGACAGGATCAGTTTGAATCTAACATATTTCTGTACATATCGAGGGAATAAACAGGAAGATTTTATGAAAATAATTTGTAGTTATGTTGATTATTATATTCTTAAGATGATGTGAGAGACTGATTGCTTTGTATGAGGATATTGCCTTCTGGCCTTCAGTGTTGTTTTCATTAACATGGGAAAACCGTTAATCACCCCCACAAGCCTTATGAAGAAGTAAACAACACAAGTGGACCCTGGACTAAGGATCTGTAGCCTTAAAATGTGGCATAAGTACATGTAGTGGTTCTTTATTTGTGCAACTGTTGCAAATATTCAGAATTGATCTTTGAAAAACAACTCCCTAATTTTGGAATATCTTCTTAATTCTTCCCGAGGAGTTGGAGTCATTAGCAACCTCTTGACTAGGACCAATTATAGTTCAATTATGTCACAACTACAAGTGGTGACATATTATAATAGTCTCCAACGTTTTTGTGAATGGTGTTCAGTGGTGGAGTTTGGCATCTGTAACAAATGGCAGGTGGTGACATTTTGCATGTTAATACCTTGTATTCAATTCTAGTTTTATTGTCCTGCATACAATTTGTGATCATCTCAATTGAACACGCCATCTATCTTAGATAAAGGACAGACTGATTGACTCAATGTTTTCAGAGGCTAAAGTCATCATTCTTGTAAGTAATCTTTATATCAGAACAGTCAACAATGATGATAAACTGCATTGTGCCATTGACACAGACCTGAGATAGCAATCATGTCAAATCAGATGACATAACAAGGCATTAACATGCAAAATCTCACCAGTCCACAAAAAGATGTAGACTATAACAATATGTCACCACTTGTGGTGATGACATAATAAAAAGCTATTCACAATTTTAAAGGGTTCCAATAAGCTTCCCGTATAAAAACAATATGGCGGCTCCAGGCGAGTCAACTGGATCAGTCCATTTTGAAGAAATAAGGGAAGTTTTGTAAAATCCATTTTATTGAAATTGTCTTGGAGATTAAGTAATCCGTTTATAATGATTCTGAACATATTATTCAGAGAGTGATTGTTCAAAGAATGCATTGTACAACAGTCAATATGTATCCTTGTATTAGAACTGCTTTGTTTCATTTGGAGGATATTTCATATGCCAAGCTGTGTACTATTACCTTATAGCGAAATTTAGATGTCAAATTTTCCTTATTATACACAAATACTTATGCTATATAACAGTTAGAGGTGTTGACACAACGACCTCATGCCTGTGGACCCTTGAATTTTATTCCGGGATCGGGCCTTTTATACTAAACGGTGAGCAACACCAGAAACGAGCATTTGCTTTGCAAAATGATATGCATCACCCTTTAAGCTGTAACATATTACATGTACTTATTAACACCTCTTGACAAAGAATGCTCTGAAGTTTTTGATGATAATTTATTTTTCCAAATAAAAATGAAATCATAAATTACTACTGCAAGTAAAATTATCCTAATGTTAACAACAACTATTAGTAAACTGTCCATAGCTCATGTATTATTGGATGTTAACAATTTGGGCTCCTTTTGTACCTCTTCCTCAATTTGTTCAGGTTTCTTTTTCTGTACATTTCCAAGCACATGGTTTGTATTGAATCTTTCATAGAGATTTCCCTCCAGTTCCTCAAGCTCCTCTAGCTCAGCAGCATTGTCTATTACATTAATGTCTGTGTAGTCTATATTACTGACAATTTGGCACTTAGGTAGCATATCCTCAAGGTGTATCTGCACCAGGCCTGCTTTGTGGCCTAATTTAGGTAAATTGTTTATGAAAAGTCTTTGTAATGTTCTGAAAAAATGGAAACAGTGATTACCATCAATAAAGCATTTCTGTGTTATTTTCAAAAGATAATTTCAACTTTGAAAAGGAACGAAGAATATGAACACAATGATTTTAAGTACAATACTTGAGCTGACCTAGTATAAACTTTGTCAAACCAATTAGTTAACATGAAAGTTGATACAAATAAAGTACTAGTATAACGACCAGTGTCAAAATATATTGAAGTTTGGATATTTCATCAAGATTACCATATATTTTTATTATCTATGAAGAAACCCCCTGGATGAACATAATTTCAGCTGATATTGACCTGATAGCTCAGAAAAAATAAAAAATTTTGAATGTGCCCCTTTATGCAAATAATGACATTTTACAGTCTTGCCTGCTGTCTGGTTTCCCTTTATTTACTTCACTCAATTGTGAGTAGGTGTGTCATGGGAGGGGGTCACAAGGGCTTGTAGCTAGAGTAGAAATTCTACATGTAAAGGTTGACTCACGGGACATTGTGTAGTGTAGCGAGCCCTCTCTCTGATACCTCTGGACAATTACTGACATCCAGCACCTTGAGCTGTTTGAAGACATGTAAGCGAGAAAGGCAGAAGTCATCAATGTACTTGCACCCACTCAAGTTGAGGAACTTTAGATTCTTCAGAAATACTGGAAGAAAATAGGGGAATGCAGTAAAACATGCTTTGGTGAACAATTGTATATTGTTAGACCTCAGTTGAAATACTACATTCTGATTGGATAATAGGCGGGTCAGTAGATTTGACTATTGAATGGGCATTTAATTTCCTTACTTTTTTGGAACAGAAGAGAAGGACACAGAAGTTTTACATTGCAGTCCCATTGATGGTGAAAGTTGTAGACTGTTCTACACATAAAAGGAATGTTCAAGTTATATAATTTTCCAAAATGACAGTGCTTGGTTTTATTTAAGGAATAAAGACCCCGATGTTATGATTTATGGCGTAATATATGACCGGAAATTTTACTCTGTTCGTTGTTAAAAAATTGAAATCAGGTAGCGATTGAGGTCTTAGGCAATGGCCAGAATAAAGTTTGACGTCATATATTTGTCATATATCATAAAATCGAGGTCTTTATTACAATTCTAATATGATAAACAGACAACAAACACAACTATTTGAATTTTAGTGGTCATACATGCTCTAATATAGACCACCAGTTAATCAATTGTTCTAGCGATTGCGACATCACATGATATCATATTAGAATTGATTATATAGGAAATGTGTTCCTTACACAAACAACAATCTAAAGTGTTTCATGTAAGATATTTTCTGCTATAATAATTATTTATGGACTTATACATTAATGTTTTATGATCAAGCAACATTAAAATTATGAGTAAAGTTGAAATTATGAGTAAAGTTACTGCTACTTACCTAAATTGTCAAAACTTTCATACATCATTGTCGTATCTGATGCATCTATGCCTTCAACATAAAGTCCCTCAACTTTCCTGTTGGGTAAATATATCACACCCTCTTCAGTTTTCCTATGCCATTTGTCAGAATTTGATAGTTTCACCGCCCCATCCTTGCCAATGACAAAATGAGCAGTGGCCAGTTCTGGACCCAGGATATCATGTCTCAATCTTGTGAACCTTGGAAGAAAGAGAAAGTAAAAAAATGTCATGAAAATGTTTACAGACTTTTCCAAAAAGATGACGATCAATTGAGTGTTTTGTTCAAAAAATTATCAAAATTTGGGGAATGAACTTAATCAGATTTTCAAAAATTTAAGGAATTTTGGAAAGAAAAACTGGGCAATTTTGGCAAAATTAATTGTGCTTTGCTTAGACTCCAACCTCACTCCCCAAGTATCAGAACTCCCTCCCTTCTAATCTTAACAAATTCTGGGTTATGATTTGTAATCCCAGGTGATGGCTCAGTAACCTGCACACTACTGCCATTCACAGAAGTTGAATTTTAAAGGAGCCTCAAGAGATCAATTACATAATGATAAAATCGCCTTAATTCCACAAAAATTACAGTATAATGCATGTCTATTCCAGAAACTTAAGCTAGGCCTACCTATGAGACGCTTTCAGCTTTTTCCAGTCATGTTCAGCTACTATTCGTCTTAGATTTTTCATACTAAAATCTAGAGGCATATAGAGCCAACTGAGGAAGTCCCTTGGAATACCTTCTTCTCTGCTATATAAATCTTTAAACTGTACTCTCTTGCGTTCCTCACACATGCCACGGCGACTCATGTGGATACATGAACGACAGAATTTCCATAACAATGGGTTCATTGACTGCAATCAAAATAAAAACCATAATTATATCATCTGAATGTAGGGTGGAATTTGTACTGTCATCTTACTGCTTTTCCTTCTCTGCCCCTGTCCTTTCTATCTTTGATACAAAAATACACAATAATGCATTATTGATAAAAATACAGATAAAAATGGATTCAATTTTAAAATACTTATAGCCTCAATTCAATAATCTGAACTATTCACGCCATTTAGCTTTCAAGAGTTAGAATCAAAAACAAGAAATAAAAAATACTCATGTGAATCAAGTTTTCCTGGGACAATTATTTCAAATTTTCAGAGCGTAAAGATAATGGAGTTTATCGGTAATTTCCGGCAGTGTCCGATATTGTTCTTCTCTCAAATTACATCACATCGCAACAAACAGCCAATGAAAGTAAAGGATCACGTAGCCTAACAAACCATTGTAAGTTATTGTTTCTACAGGAGTTTAAGAAACGTCATGGGGTTTCTCGATAATCTCTGATGTGGCGTCATCCGGAGTGGCGCCACATTCTCAAAAAAGACATTTGACTTTGGGAATAAACATTTGAACAACGGAAATAGCCGAAACACTCCATTATAAATACGTTCTGTTATTTTATGCTTTTATCAACAGACGCTTTCTTGAATGTGTGACTTTAGTGATTGGAGATGAAGCTTATAACAGTATGCATCATTTGAGGTATGACATGTGACATTTATTTATAAACTGACTCCAAAATCAAGGAAATATAAATTTTCCGTAGATTTTTTTGTCTTGTCCTTGAGTATATTCATTGAGCCTAGACACCAAGAAGAGGTATCTGGCAGAGGTCCGTGCATAAATTAGTCCAACAACATTAGACCTAGCCTGGGCCTCGTTTCTTATCTGACATGTATTGTGGCCCGGCTAGGTCTAACCTCCATCATCATTTTGGCTTAAGTGCGTAATTTTAATGGTGCCGCTTTTCGAAACAAGCAGAGCTAATAAAACCCTGAAAACATGGTAATATTACATAAAGAATGTGATTCAAGCATGCATACATGCCTTATGAACACATACACACCATCCCGTACCCCCCCCAAGATCCTATTGATGCATAATTACGAGAATATTAGAGACAGGTTTGGATTGAACGAAAATTTTGGTCAGTTCTGGTAACATCGAAATTGCAAATTGTATCAGAAATTAACCGTCATTGCGGCACTGCATTAACAAACAGTAGGTTTGCAATTAATAACTATTTTGCGTGTCTATATAAATCAATCAAAGATACTGTAACCTGTTATCCTCAAAATTGATCTTTTTATCCCGAGTAATCGCGATAATAATCATCAATCTATTTGACAACAATTTTGTTTCGCTAATAGTTTAATTTTAAGGTAACTTATAACTTAATCAAAAAATCCAAGATGGCCGAAACCAGGAAGCACATGGCATTTGAGTATAATCTGACCATCAAAATTAACTGTCTTTTGGTTGGATTTTCTCTCAATTTTTTAGTTCCACTTATCATTTATATAACAAGGCTCACTGTAGTAATGCAAATAGAAACAGTAAACATTTTGGAATGGGAATTTGAGTCCTCTGAAAATGTGACAGAAAAATTGACAAAAAGAGTAGCACGGCAAAGGTCCCTGAACATTTTTTTTCTAATTTCTCTGAAACATCCCTTTAATATAGCCCAAAATGGAAGGAGCTTTAGAATTTTGAAATCTCTCATACAAATTTAAAAAAATAGAAAAAAACAATTTGAGAAGTGTACTTTTTTCCTTATTTTGATCCCAATTTTTTATCAGGTAATTTTTCAAATTTCCGTTGCTCCTTCGTTTTTGATATATGTTTGAAGTATATTTTCTGAAATGTTCAGATATTTTGAATCAGCGGTTTTTCACGGGCTACTCCTTGAAAAAAATCTTCTCAAATTCTTTAAACGGCACTTTTTTTCTCAAACTAAAGTTTTTTGTTGTTCTTTGATGTCTTTGTAATGATTACAGTGCACAAGCATATGTGAAATAATAAAAACGACTTCTCAGGAAGAGTTTGAAAATTTCAATTTCAAGATTTTTTCTGAAAATCGATGAAGTTAACAGTCACCTTAACCCGGGACACCTGGACCAATGACGGCCATGCGGAAATGTCATTTTAGAAATTGGTAAGTGTAGCCTCACAGACCTATAGTATAAATGAAAATTTAACACAGTAATATTGTGTTAATCACTTGATGTTATGTGTTTTTATATTATTGTGAAGTATTGAGTTGCATGTTATCGCGGAAAAAATGGTTTCGATAGATCCAGAACTTGCGACTAAGGAAAGAATAGTAAGGAGATTTAAATCAATAACGGCCAAGAAAATTCCTAATAGTAAAGAAAGCCATAATTATTGAGTTTAAGGTCTCATGGAAGTTAACAGGAAATGACAAAACAGGAAGTGACAATTTTTTTGGCATTTTTAGACATTTTTTGAACAAAGATAACAGAGTTCACTTTTGACCTCCAGTCAATTCAACTAGTTCCAGATACCATTTACAGGTCCAGGATCACAATGTTTATGGTCAGAATGACCCTAAATATCATGAAATAACCTTTTCAGCCCTATGAAAATGTGACTGAAAAATAGCTAAAAGAAGGAGGTAGGAAAGGTCACTGAACAGAATCTTTTGAATTTTTCAGAAAATGTGCCCAATATATTGCTTTAAATGGTACAATCTTTGAAAATTTGATATCATTCATAGAAAGAGAAAAAAAATGAAAAAACTGATTTGAAAAGCGATCTATTTTCCTTTTTATGACCTCCATTTTTGTTTACGACAATTTTCTAAAATTTCAAAGATTGTATCAGTTAGAGCATTATATTGGGCACATTTTCTGAAAAATTCAAAAGATTCTTTTCAGTGACCTTCCCTAGCTCCTACTTTTAGCTTTTTTTCAGTCACACTTTCAAGGGACAAAAAAGGTTATTTCATCATGTTTAGGGTCATTCTGACCATGCACATTGTGATCCTGGTCATGTAAATGATATGTGGAAACAGTTAAATTGACTGGAGGTCAAACCAGAACTCTGTTATCTTTGTTCAAAAAATGTCTAAAAATGCCCAAAAAATTGTCACTTCCTGTTTTGTCATTTCCTGTTAACTTCCATGAGACCTTAACGACGTTGAACTAGGCCTAATGTGAGTTGATCTTTCACTGAAATCATTTGAAATCAATGGAAAAATAAACCACGCATTTATGGGGGAAGCATACTTTGAATACAACTGTAGCCAATTTGGGTAACACAGCTAACATCTTCTTTGTATTTTATTACTGAACACTCCCAAATGAAAGAGAAAACAAGATAAACAAACCTGCATTTTTGGAAACTTTTTTTTACAATTTTGTGCGCACTGCTTTTGCGCATGTCCAATCATCATTAACAAACACATCCGGTTTTACAAACAAACAAGTTTCAGTGCCCTAAACTTCATTTTTGAGAGAATTCAATGATAAGCCTTGATTAAATAGACGATAATCATCCAAACTTTTACTTTTAAAGTTCTAAATTAAGATTTTGATTTTGTTTTTTTCTTGGATTTGTCATTGTTCAAGCAGCATTTTGTAAAAATCAAAACATTAAAATGTCTCAAAAGGTGTAGTATTTTATTCACTTATTTGATGGTTTCTTAAACATGGCAATACATCATAAAACAGAATGTGCTATGAGCAAATATTAGTGCGTCAAAGCAGTAAATTTTATCTAAAATCTATGTCGGGATAGCTTTTAATAATGACCTAAAATGAGATGCACTCTACAAAAAACACACAAAAATACATGACTGCTTGCAAATTTGATTTTTCAAATCAACCCCATAATAACTTGTGTCATAAAATTATGAGATTAAAAACGTTGTCGTTAGTTGACAAAAAGGTAATTTTATCTCAATTATCCAGCTTATTTTCCAAGATTTCAATACACATTATCCTGTGTCAGGACTATAGTCCTGTAACCAGCGCATTCTTTTGCCTGTACGATTACAACTTGGGAGAATTATCTACGCCCCTTACACTTAAGATACCTACTTCAATAGATTCCTGGGTATTTTAACATCATTTTCGTGTAGTTGAATCCACAATTGTTTGGGTATATCGGCAGAATGGGAACATTTTTCTTTTTCATCGAGAGATATTCCGTCACTTTCCAAGATGGTGGTTGGATTTAAATGGGGATTCCCCATTTGACTGACCCGGAAGTGGCCCGGATAACCAATAAATGGAAGAATTTGACGGTTGAAATAAGTTAAATATTACACGCAAATGTTGCGATCAAAAACGAAATTTTCTTTGTTCTACCGATAAACCCAGACAATCGTGAATTCAACTACACGAAAAGAATGCTAAAATACCTGCTAATAAATATCATAAGTGTAAGAAGCGTAGAAAATTCTCCCATGTTGTAATCGTACAGGCAAAAGAATAAGACGTTCGCAGGACTATAGTCCTGGTATGGGATAAAATACACAAGTAGTTGTGGAGATGATTTGAAAAATCAACCCCAGGTTTGTGTAAAAAACTGGGTGGCCGGGTGACTGGGTACTTAACGTTCCTAGCAGGGTTACCAATTTTCAAAGTTGTACATTTTCCCTAAATATAGTAGCCAATTGACCTGTCGAGCACTAAATAGACATAGCCTCCCAAGCGTAGACTAACGGCCATTCGCTGTTTACAGTATAATTTTTGTTAAAAAATTTCTTACGAAAAAACCTGTAATATCTTAGCGCAAATGCCAATGGAAACACCAAAAACTGTAAAGAAACTCTAAGTGTAAACATGTCATAAGAAAAATAGACCCTATATATCCCAAAAGCATGATCCAACGTGAAATGAATTACAATGTCTAAAATCAAGTCTAATCCAATCGAGAACCAAGAGCACTTTTTGAAATAATCTGCTACTTTATCAATACATGATCAGACAATAAGCTAAATGGTTACCTGGTTACACAGGATATCCACTGAATAAATATGAACACAAAACGGACTGAATTCGGAAGTCCTAAGTAGTTTACATTTTACACAGTTTACGTACATATACTATGACATTAGTTGCTTGATTTATTGTCTGAGTGATTGACAGGATATGATGATTGTTTCTACAAAAAACATTTAAAACATCGTTTTAATACAGAGGCGTAAATTGAAATGCCAACTAATGTATGATGAACAATACAACGTTAGTTGCTTGATTTATTGTGTGAGTAATTGACAGAATATTGACCTTTGTTTGTTTTGCTGGTTAGTTTGATGGTAGATTAGTTGTTTGATTGGTTGGTTGTTTGCTTGATTGGTTGTATGACTGGTCCGTTGAGTTGGAAGTCAGTTGGGCGTTTTGAGGCATAAAATGAAAAATCAAATTCCTAACCCTGGTAGGAATGTTAGGTACCCAGTCACCCGGCTACCCGGTTACCCGATCACCAATTTTTTACACAAACCCTCAACCCCACATAATACTTGGAGGCAGTGCTTGGGTAGTTCCTTATGCTCAGAAAAGTCCCATGTTATTTTTAGGTACACAATATTACTCATTGCATATATATATATATATGTATAGTGTACACCATTCATTTTAGCACAGATTTTAAGGGGCAATAAGGCTTGTAGAGAGAAAATGGGAAAATTTTAAGTTTTTCTGAGCTATCAAGGCAACAGTTGGCTTAACATCTTCTTCGACATACCTATTTTCTTAAAATGTATGGATAAACAATCATTTCCGGCATTAAAGAGTGTAAATTCACTTTAAAGCTTGAAAAAGTGGACGTCCACTTTTATATTTTTAAGATCCACCATGTTTCAAGAGGAATATAAGCTGAAATAATGATTATCTAGGGGGTTTCTTTGTAGAAAATAAAAATAGATGTTAGTCTTGATGAAATATCCAAACTTAAATGTATTTTGACACTGGTCCATGATCGTTGAATGGCCCCTCTGCACTACTTGTTGCACCTTTAATGTACCTTGAGTGTCAAAAGGCATTGATGGCATGGATATTATAATCCCTGCAGGCACAAGACAGCACAGCTAAATAAATCAACAGACTGGGTTCAAACTAGTGGAACCTTGAGTGTTAATGAGTTTGTAAAGTTTTCTCTAATGTTGAATTCATATCTTTATTTACAGATGTTGTCCCATTCAATAAGGGGTCTCTTGAGTGTAGGGACACAATCTAAAGGGGCACTCAATCGTCCTTTGTTTGGTTGGCTCAACTCTGTTTTCAATAGGTAAGACAATTCAGGTAACAATTGTGTACATGCAAATACTTGTTTCAAAGTATTCCATCAAATAAGGTTTGTGGGAGATATACAGAACACCTCTGTCATTACATGCATCCATCTGTACATCCAAAGAATAACTCAAAAACCATTGGTCCAATATTGTTCATATTTTATTCATAGTCATCACTGCTTTTATCTATTTTTTGTGTTATTTCTTTTTAGTAAGTTACCTTTCATTTCAGAATGGACAAAGATAGAGTTAAAGAAGTTGGTCCTGAGAGAGCTTGTGCAGAATGGCTTATTAGGTGAGATTTTTTAAAGAGGAAGTATCTGGTAGGAGCACAATTTGGAACCCTCCTTGATATTTTTGCATCAGAAGATGTAAAACAGGTTCATTCTTCTACTTTCCAACTGTCAATGTATGTAGAAATCGATTATAACTGGGCAGTCGAAATTAAAAAATGCTCTGAAGAATCTGATTTTCTGCCTGGGTTAAGTCATTTGACGGTGACGATGGTCCTGTCATTTGACAGGCATTCCCTTCGATGGGGGAAAGCTCAAATTGCATTCAATTCCGACAGTGGGTTGTAAATGTTCTCAATATATCGGCAATACTGTCCATCGGCCCATATGTTGGTCTCAAGATATATCTAATGTGTGTAAGATAGGATACAAGCAATTATAAATGGAAATCACTGATTGTCCTGGAGATTGACCTTGGAGACACTGCATCTTTACTCTTTACATGAGAATCCGAGTAGTAATCCTAGTAGTAGTTGATATACACCAGTAACTGATGATTGTGATGCAATATGCTCTATAACATACATGTATATTTTAAATATATCAAAATGTGTAGCATACACTGTATTTTATCTTTGTATATCTAGATGTGGGGCCCATGTTAAGTGGAAAGGTGCTAAAAGATGGCATGCAGATTACAACACATTGCCACAAAGTAGTTCTAACAAATATGTCATTGAGGAAGTGAATGGTGACAATGCTGCTGTGATGGGGATTGGCTTTCCTCATTTTGGTAAACAGTTTAACCTTATATTGTTTGTATTTTACATAAAAGTACACCTGTACATGTTATAAATAGAAGTTACTGTATGTTGCATTTTTTCTTTCTTAGATTTTGTTTGAATGATAATTTAGTCAAACATAGAATGGTTTTAAGACTGCTAACCATTTATTAATTATTATTCAGATGTTGGATACTTTATGTTTATATTCATGACTAGATGATAATAACTATATATACAGTTAAACTATGGAAAACAATTCTTTGTCAAGTATTTCATCTTTTGACTAAAAAGTATATACATGTATGTCCATTTGTAATATTCTTGCTTTTATGATTTATGTCCTTTGTTCATTATTTTCAGTGGGATGCAATCATGTCAGAAAGATCCGCTTTCACTTTTGTGGCTACATGCATGATGATGCCATTCAACAGCTAGACATTCTGAAAGAAACACTAGAGCACCTAGAGATCACAAGCTGCGCTAATGTGACTGATAAAGGATTATTTAGTCTTACCAATCTGAAGTAAGTTAACTTTGTGTATTTATTTATCTTTATACTTTCCATTGTTTTTTTTATGTCAAGTCCAAAACCCCCTTTAGCAGTTATAAAATCATATGGTCAAACTAATAAGGGATGATGTCCAAATATTGAAAGTTATGGAAAAAATTAAGTTAATTTTGTTATTGGTTTAGCCCCACCCTCCCCCTTACCATATAAGCAAAAATTCGGAAATGTTGATCCGCAATACACTTGAATTTCACTTGAAAATTGGCCTATTTACTTACAAATAATGAAATTAAAGGCAGAATCAGATCTATAAGGAGTGCCAAAATTGTAAGCAATTACAATTGATCTACCATGTAAAAATCTTTAATTTTCTTCAAATAAGGTTTACATTTGGGGTATTTTTAGAAAATAGACATGACAAATGATATGAGCCCAAAATATTCTAGAATTAAAACAATTTTCATCAAGATGACGACTGAGATGATGATGAATACTTGCTAGATCTGATTCTGCCCTTAATTTGTTCTTTTAAAACCATTCCTAAATACAAAATGTACAATGTACATTGAATTGTTTCCAGTTCACTGCAGACCCTTATTATGTATGACCTTCCATCTGTGAGAGACAAAAAAGGAAGTTTGGACTTGTTGAGACATGGACTGCCAAAGTGCCATATAGAATTTCATGATGTAGAAAAGCCTGAAAATCCAGCAATTAGCATGGGAGGAACAGATGCAAAAACCTAGTACTATTTATATGAAATCTCTGCACATGCATTTCAAAATCTGGGTGTGTTTTGTTGTTCTTGTACAATACTTTGGCAATCAGAGTATTGAATTAGTTCAAGGTGCTACCATGAATCATTTAACAAGTTTGAGAGAGTCAATAATATGATATGCCATTTGCCATATCAGTGAAAAGGAAACTCAAAATTGTCTTTATACATCGGTCCTGATATAAAGATGGCAGTGTGGTCGGTTTGTTTATGCTATGAAGAAAATACGGTTTCTCTTGCCACATATACTATTACCACATATATTGTGCCATCTGTAATGGACCCAACAATATACTGTAACTTAAAAAGAAGACATACTGGCACAGTGTACAACACAAAAAACAGAACTTTGTAACATGTGTGTGAGTACAGGTGTTATATTATGTACACGCATCTGATTTTACTTAACCAGATTTTGTAGGCTTTTGCTATAGCTTCAAGCCATTGCGCAAATCCTTCCACAATACCTGCAGAGTGCAGTACACAGAAGTCCAGAGACTTGTACATCCACAGTTTTTGAATTGAAATATAGGTGTCCCAACATATGATTAGAAAAAGGAGGTCGGAGTCTGGTGTTCAGCGTCTGTAACAAATAACATGTGGTGACATTTTGCACGTTGATACCTTGTTAGATAGTTAGTCTCAACTTGTTAAAGTCAGTTTGTTTCCATTTTGTTACATGCTACACAGACATGTTAATTGTAAATTAAATAAGATTTTAAAAAGTTTTAAATGAAATAAATGTTAAATAAATTATTTCTATGTTATATTGTCAACTTTTACCAAGTGAATAGACTTATTAAATGTTATTTAAATTATTTGCAGGTTCTCTGATTTCACTTGGTTGGATCGCAAAATGTAATGTGCGAGTAACCTTCACTTATGTTTGAGATCCAACAACGTTATAGTGAATGCTATTGAAAACGGCGCTGGATATCATTCCTAAGTGCACGTTTTTATTTTATTTTTTAATGTCGCAACACGGTGACTTGATAATATTTACATTTGTTTCTATCATAATACTGGAAGTTTAAGTGAGACACTTTAGTTATGAGATCGTTTTCTTTATTTTTACCACAGACCCCGAGCCAGATCCAGTTCCCATTGGTAGTACATGTAGGCTCAATGAATAAAAGGGGTATATTCATTGAGCTACTACCAATGGGAACTGGATCTGGCAGAGGTCCGTGATTTTTACAAAAAATGTATCATCCCCAGCCCCAGGGATCACAGCCTTCTCTCAGTTTCATTTCTTGTGCATTGCAGAGATGGTCTGAGTATCAGAATGCCAATTTGATCATGAAACTGCAGACCATGCGTTTACTTTTGGCCAGTTGCAATGGGGACTAGTTTCTTCGTGGGCCCGGTTGACCCTTTCTGATACTCATGACATCTTTCTGCCTTGAACTAGAAATAGAGAGAAGTTAATTGAAGGCCATGATTTCTCATGATGCGGTTGACCAGTTGCAATATACTATTGAATCATTTCAGATTAATGCCTAATTTCCTCTTCCGAAAAATAGAAAACCAAAATGTTTGATTTTAATAAAAAAATTATTTTCCTTCACAATGAGTTAAACACCATTGCTTGTAGCATTATTATCTGGGCATTAGATACACCACAAATGTTGATGTTGGGGCTTGCTTTATTATGTTAATCTGCTAAATACATTCTTTTATCCCCTGATTGCATTATGAATCCACCATCTAAGTAGAAAAATACAGACGATTCATCTGGAAAATTGCAGAAAATCTGAAGGTTTTCGGGATTTGCCTTTAGGTTCCTGCAGCAGGCCATGATCGAGCTGTTTATGTAAAGTGATAATGCCTATATTGCAAGATTTGTCAAGCTTATTAATGGATAACCAGATTTCGGGCAAGAGAATAACTTATTTATTTTCTTAGTCTAGACTTAGCTGTAGTTAAAGCAGACCTGGATTTTGGGACACTCGGGAGGAAAGATCCATTGCGCGCAAACATAGTTCGTGTTCATGAACCGTCTGAAGATGAGCGTGTGGTGGATGGTCAACAAACGCACCACTTCATTATTTTGCAAATGTTATCGTGTAAAACTCTATAACATACTTGACACAGCAAATTCGGAAGTTTTTAAAAGAACCATCTAAGTTCTTTAGAATTGAAAGGGGGTCGCTGACATTTTATGACCGATAACATTAAAACCAAATGATTATCATGTATGACCTTCTGACAATTTTTTAGAAATTCACTATCCGTTTATATCTATTGTTGCTCCCAGTCTTCCAATTTTTCGAAGGACTGTTCTGGTGCAAGAAATTGCACCAGAACATAGCATTAAATTTTGGGACCAATGATTCCAAATCAAGACAAGATCTTGAAACAAAATGTTTTATTTTGTACATTTATTTCTTCCGTCATCAAAGAATTTCAATAAATTCCGTTCGTGAGTTGCGTTCGAATGTTGAGTTTTTAAATAAGAGATATAGCCAAGGTTCACATATATTCTGTAAAGTATTGAAACTCTTTCTTTTGAACGACTATTGTGATGCTAAGTTTGACTATCACCTTAATTCATCGCTCGATGTAACAGCTAGGCCTACGCAAAATTTAAAATAAAATTACTTTCTGACTTCTATTTATGAGAACCCGGGGTTTGGTTATTCTAAAATAATTAAATCAACAGAATTATTAGTGTGGAAAATGGCAGCCCCGGTCGAGGCCCCGGGCAATATTACTCTAAATGGATTAGAAGATTCGCTGACCATCGACTTCACTCTTTAAGTAAATGAATTGAAAAAGATCAGCGGACTTAACCGATTCCTATTTATTGGTCCGACAAAATTACTTCATTGAATCATGCTTTTAGGTAACTATTTGTTCACGGCTTTCTTCTGTATTATGCAATTATTCCCAAAGCTGCTCCAAAATCCCAGGTCTCTTTTGTATCCAACAAAAGAACCATTAGTGTTGGAAAAACATGACTGCTTACTACCCCTCTCTAGCCCTTTATCCCATTCTTATTCCCGTATTTGTTCGTACATTAGCATCTAAACCTCTTTTAATTGTCTGCTTCTAAATATTTGTCTCCCGATTGTGAAATTCATAAGCCGTTTGCTGTTTTTGACTTGACGAATTAAAGCACCTGCGTTTAGTGCCGTTTACAATAAGCTTATCATCACAGAATTCCAAATGAATTTGGATACGCGTGATATTCACTCTTCTACACTGTGTTCTAGAACCAAAGCATGCATAATGCTTTTCTATGATACATACACTTTAGAAATAAATCTTCAGCTCATCCTTATCCCCATTACTATCTTATTCCATTACATTCGCTTTATTTCATATTCAAAAGTGATATCTATGAAATTTCATTCGAAGGACGACAACACTTTTGCATTCCATCTTAAATTTACACCACCTTGGAATGTTTTGAACAACAGATACTATGTGAAGTAACTTGTTATTGGAATTAAACTCTTAAATAAATATAATTTTAGATTTTCGCGATTTGTGGAAATTTATTTTATCGAATAAAATATTTTGTCATGAATTATTTCTATTTATCACCAAATAAGACCATGTCCCATGAAACGTAAAATATCCAGAATATTTCTTTAATGTGTACAACATACTCGTATAACACCATGGAAAAGTATTTTGGCATATCTTTCCTTTAATCTTTATATCTTTAAACATTTCGTGAGTTTATAATTCCGTTGCTTTTTGTCCCATAAATGTTATAACAACCATCGAAAATAATTTATCTATTTCCTCATTGTGAGTGTTTAAGGCTTCTTTGAGATTAAGTTATCAGAGAAATTATAGTTGCATTAACGACTTAGCAGTGTCGATATCAGATGCAGCGGGGAAGCATATTCATCCGCAGGCTGTGATTAAGAAATCCCTACAAGTTATAATTGTTTCTTTATTGGCTGACGTATGTTTTAATTAGAAAAGAATTTTCAGCTAAAATGTTTGTAACCACCCACAGGACTCTTTATTCAGGGGGCTTTTTTGAGTCTCAAAATGTGTTGGAAGCACACCGGGCAATAGTTTTAAGACGTTACGGGGCCAACTTTAGGTCAAGGTCATATAAGTTGAAAATAACAATAATCAGTAAGTTCTGCATAGGTTTAGCAAGATTGAGGTTGATGCCATAGTAACTATATTTTTTATTTTATTTTTTCAAATATTAAACCACTTTCACACCACCTCCATTCATTCAGACATTCACAACAGTCATACCCAAAAGTTCCGGTATATACAGGGTGGTCCAAAAAAAGTGAACCCCTGCAACAGGCTACATTTTTCTTAATACATGCATGAATTTGGTCATATTATCACATGTTGTAGAGAAAGGTCTAAAATTTTGGTTGATGCCATAATTTATTCTCAGTCTTAAATTTTAAAGAAATTACAAGCGTTTAACAAACATGCCTGGAAATTAGATATTGTACAAAAGTTTACAAATGTGATTCACGGAAATTGTTGAAACACATTGGATGATTTTAAACAGCTTTCAGTTAGAGATACAAGTTTAAAACCCTACCATATGATAAAAGGGACACTATTCAAGCAGAAAACACATTTCACACTTTCATTGATCATTTTGAAGCATTTTTAACTGTTCAACAGTTCAGGGGTATGTTACCTACACCAACAGTTAGAGGGGGGCCTCTTATGGAAGGAAGTTGCCCCCTGTGACCAGGTATCTGATAACCCCTTCATCAAATATCTTTAAAAAATCAAAAGAAAATTCAATATTCAATGTTTTGAGCCATATATCATTAGAATTGGTCCATGATTTATGACGATATTGACATTTCAAGATCATATAGGGGTATGTTCATGATTTCACTGGAAAATGTTTTCGTCTGTGGAAGCTTAGCACATCTCTTTGGATCACAATAAATTTGCAACTATCAAATGTAGAATGCTAGTTTTAAGCCATAATGTGCAGGATTTAAAATTGAACAAAGTCAGAAAATATTAGTTCTTTAAGACTGCAGCTTAAAAAAATTCTCAGGGGAAAGGTGTTAAAGGGTTGAAGAATCGCGGATATTGAAAATCACAATTTGTCCATTTTCAGTAATGTTTGGTTAGGGCTTATAATTTCTGCAAATTTGAAGACTAAGAAAAATGTATGGTACCACCATAAATTTTAGACCTTCCTCTACAACCTGTGAAAATAAAAAAGAATTCCTGGAAGTACTAAGAGAAATATGGCCAGTTGCAGGGGTTCACTTTTTTTTGGACCACCCTATATAAAAACATAGTATTTTCAAATTGAATCACGTCCAAGTTGGGATTTACTTCATCAAATTGTTTCACATATATTATATGATATTTGATTGCTAGTGATAGCCTATTTACCAAAATGTTTACATTATTTACAGATCTTCCGAACACCATACCATGGGCATTACAATCAAGATTTACATTAAATAATTTCTCTCAATTCTCTTTAATAGCTTTCAAAAAGATCTGAACCCGCCTACATTCCCAAAACGTGTGCTTTAAAGTGTCTCTTAGTGGACAGTAACTGTTACTATATTTTTATATAAACGAGCACCTTCGAATCATTTAAAAAAAATTATTTTGATTTTGAGATCTGTCTATTCCAAAGGATAGCAAGCTTACAGGCTGTGGATCCCACAATGTTAACCCTGCCATTTGTAGGTTTCGGTCAATCGTTTTTACCGAGCTTATCTTTAAAGTATCACAAAACATCCAGGTAAAATCCCCTGAAAATTTTTTTGACTTTGAAATCTGATCAAATATGGGAATTTGGGTGTCACGGTTTATTAGAGTTACATAAATGATATATATATCTTTTGGGCACATACCCCTAAAATCCAAGAAAAAACACGTTTAAATTGGGATGACATAAAGCATTGTGAGCAACAAATATTCTAACCACTCGTATCCGGTATTTTTGCGCTATTGAGGCTTTTAAGGTTATCAGAGTGTCAGGATCCTTAATGATGACATCTTAATAATATGTAGGTCAAGGTCAGGTCACCATATTACAATTTTAGATTATTTTTACTATCCTGCATTCAGAAACCGTTGGCACTTTTAAATAGTCTCATCAATGGTACACAATGTAGTTATTAATTGAATGTTTTAACTTTTGAGGTACAGTATCGGATTACAAATCCCATATGTTCAAAACTTTATAAATATTTTTAGTTTCTTCAAATCCTAAATCAAATAAGTTAAGGGCTTTTCGACGTTGACAGTTTTATTCCAACAATACCCCTTTTAATAGGTTTGTGGTAATGCATGTCAGGGATAGGATATCTAATTGAAGAAGTTATTTCGCTAAAAAGTAAATTTGTTTCCATCGTGGGGCATTGGTTGGGTTACGCTTTATTGAGAGCGACCCAAGTAGCCATAAGTCCTTAAGTCTACAAAGATATTACAAAAGGGTGGTGATATGAGACGCAGATCAATAGATTTAACAGATTAATTTACAAAAATGAGTTGGAAATTATTTACTTAGTTTGAGCTGTTGAAAAAATCTGCACTAGCTTAGAGTAACAACTGTGACATCTCCGGTGACATTTACTCTTGCACATTGTATGATTCGTCTTTGCTTTTGTCAGTGGGTTCACAAAAGTGTTTATGCAGTGTCGACCCAGAAATATATATTAACCTGTATGATCCTCTAATATATGAGGGCTATATGATCACTTTAGTCCGATAATAAAACAGAACATATGTGTATAGTTCATGATTTTATTTAATTAATAATATAATATAAATATAAGTACATATTTACACCAATAAAAGTTATTTACAATAATATAATGTTTGAGTACGACAGTTAATCAAAACTTGACTAAATTATTGAAAATAAAAATAACGCCAAGTGACGCTCAAATAGACAAAGACCAAAATTGAAGTTAAATTGCACCTTTGAAAGACCAGTCACTTAATAAGTAAACACGTCAAACTTTTGCTTCCATATTCGGTCACACATTACACATCTATGGTATCTATATTTGGGCTGGTAATCGTTTCAGTCCTTTTTATATCATTTAGATCACCTAACATTCTGTGATTGGTTGGAATGCTATTTGTATTGTCTTTCACTTCAATGTCACTCTCATCGCCACTAGAGGGCAGTTGGGAATTTAAAGATATATCATCGGCCTCGTCTTCATTTTCAGCAGACGGTATTGGTTTGGCGGGGTTTTCTATCCCTGTGGAGTCTTTGTTCGCATTTACAGCACGTTTGGCAGCCTCTTGTTGTTCTCTTTTCGTCTTTCTCCACTTTGCTCTTCTGTTTTTGAACCATACCTAAAATATACAAAAAGTAAGTTTCAAGTGAAAACAGTTTAGCCTACCTCATATTGTAAAAAAACTTTAAATGGAATATTTAGCCCTATGATGTTTTTTTAATCTGTGCATGGACTTAAAAGATGTCAAACTGTATTGTTTAAAAAACAATATCTCTCTATCAAAAGCAACAAAGGAGAAGTATCATTCGACACATCATGAAATACAAAACTGCAGACGTAAAACAACACACAACACCATTCGACGCAACTTAAAATGCACAACCACCATTTAACACACGGTTAAAACAATTACAAAAGAAGCATTTGACTCGGTTAGGCACAATCAATTTGCAATTTCAATCAAATACCACATTTCGGGTCCAACGGTCCATGAAGAATGGTTGGTTGTTCTTTTATAAGGGATCATTCAAATGAAAAGATTTATCAAATGCTTGGAGGCATTGGATGTAACTTGTTCTGAAAATCAATGGTATTAAAACGATTAGTGTGTGCAACTGAATTAGATGGAAGTGAAATGACAGGCCTAGATATCGTAAGCTGTAATCAGTACTAATCTGACATTACGGCGTTTTTAAAATCATGTTTTACCATTCATAATAAATTCCATCCCTAATAAAAGTTTATAATGAAGATTAGTGGAATTTATCGATGTACATCTGTCTAATTTACAGGATATATTTTCATTTTCACGCAATGTACCACGAATCAGTCTTTTCACAAATGACTAGTAGCTGTAATCGACCACCCCCTTGTATTTCATTTGGACCAAAATATGGCCACAATTAAAGATAAAATCATTTCTATATATCGTACGGACTCTCATATGGTACGGACAATATATATGTTATCCATGTAGCCTATAGATGTTATTTAATAAGAGGGAATGGATATAGCATTTATCCAGAAGATTGAAGAACAATGCAATATTGACCGAGGGAAATATCATATTGAACTAGGGCTTTTATCCAAGTGTCAATTTGATATTTTCTGAGGTCAATGTCATATTGTACCGCGGAATGAAATTCAAATTCTTTCCCTATTATCATGTAATCTCAATACTATATGATATTTGATATTTCATGGAAAAAAGTCAGGGAATGAATTTCCATATTAGGGTTGCATTGTACAGGAAACATATCTGGTGATTGCTCTTGGCAAGATTTTATGTGGTTTTAGATTTCCAACTTTAAACTATTAGAATTATGAAGATATATTTTTAATATAATGAGATTTAACTTGATCAAAGAGTTGATTAATAAGATTCCAGAGTAAAATATTTATAATCTAACCGGATTACTAAATGTTCAAAATTGATAGGATACTTTCATATTTCATTATATCCTGTGTACTGGGAAGTTATATAGCATTCAGTTAAGCCTCAGTCACATTTGCTCTACGGCGGCCGTAGCTTCACAAAATCGATATATAGAAAATCTACATCGTACTGCATATCCCTTTATTTTAAGCTGCATATTTCCCTCGATTTTAGGAAGCTACGGCCGCCGTTCAGCTGCCGCAGATCAATTGTGACTTAGGCATCAAGTTTTACTAAATAATCAAATAAATACATTTTCCAAATAAAATATTTGATCAGTGATCATAAATTTTATCAGATTAGCCTAAGAACGAAAATAACTATAAGCAGAAGTGTATGCAATTACCCCAAACTTATGAAGCCTAGAGATTTATACAAAAATAGAAAATTCTGTAATGATTTAACAACGTAAATTATGTAAATTAAGAGATGTAGGGAAATAAGGAATGTTCAATGGGACATGTTTATAGAATATGGCAGTCTAATACTTAAAACATATATGTTTATTGTTGACATTTAAACTCAATTATGATTAACTAGATTAGAGGCACATGTATAATATTTTCTTTTAATTGTAAAATATTTCTTTCTCGTTACATATCTGTTGAACCAACATACAAGTTCTAAACAAGATTAGTGCTGTAATTCCTTAATCCTATTTTCATCAAGTCAGATTTAGACGTAATATTCCATTAGTAACGAATTTTGGTAAATAAAATATTTAAATGTTTTAAAAAGCTATAAACGGTAAAATAATTTGAAACGAAAACATTAATCTTATCTGACCATTTTCTTGGACCAGCATCCTTTTTAGTTCGAACACACACCAGAAATCGTTCTTGGATTATGAGTTTTCCGTTTGGGGGTATACAACCTTTATAATCATTTTTCTTTTAACTTAAACTATTATAAGAAACATTTTAATATCCGTGGAAATAGTCTATTACATAACTCCCGTTGGTATCTCATGTCTGGTTTCGATTCCAAAATACAATACAGTTCTATATGTCAATTCTGATAAATAACTTTAATTATTAGTATTACTAGCAGCTATTAAACATAAGCCATTGCCAAATATTTAATCTAAAAGTTAATTCACTAAATCTACAAAATATAAAAAAGGAAACCCTTTTCCGATAAAAACTAATATCCTAAATAGGGTAAAAGAGCAATGGTCTATTGATTGTGTTTTGTATGTTTTACTCCTCTCTATAGAAAACACCCCCAGGCCACTTGCCCCTCCTTTGTGATTATAAATTACACGTTTACTCTTAGATTTGTATTCATAGGTGAAGTATTTTATTCCAAGAGCTCTTTTGCGGCAAAGAAAGATTTTTTGAAGCTATTGATACATTGGCGTCTGGAAATTGGATGATATTTCAATCAGCGGGTCTTTTGCAAAAATCTATCCCGACAGCAAACTCTTTAAAAATTCCCACACCCAAAATATAACAAGTTGAAAACCAAACTAAAACTATAAATGTTCCTTTAAAACCGATATCCAAAGAAAATAGAAAGACACTTTATCCGTAATCTAGATCGAAAGGACAACATCAACAAACACCCAATTTATTATTTCCATCGTCAATTTACATGCCAATGATACAGTTGGGGCCATGCACATGGAAAATGAAAATTTAAGTCAGCATATTTAGCGTTGTATGATTTTTCAATTCTCTCACCTCAACTCTCTCCTCTTTCAGATCTATTTTCATTGCAAGTTCCTCGCGTAGTAATACATCGGGATAATGCGTCTTGTGAAATGTGGCCTCTAGTTCCTCCAACTGCTCCTCTGTGAAAATAGTTCGGTGTCGCCTCTTGCGTTTGTGTCCAGCTCGCACAAAATCCGCTGGCATAAAACCCGGAAATGGGGAGGGATATGCACCTGAATCAAAAAAGAAAATCTCAATTAATTTAATATGTCTTTATTGTTTTATCGGAATGGATATTTTGGGCTTTTTGTCTCCTTTTCTCTTTTGTTACTGGCTTATCATAAATAACTCAACGAACTCTCTTTACATTCGTTTCGCACTATATGGTTGTTGCAATAGGGCCAGTTGGGACATATATTAATATATACGAGGGGCAGTTTTTCTATGTGATGTGGATCTCTTACACCAGCCGTTTGTTTGAATTTGATAACTCTTGATTTACTGATTTGGAAAATTTTCTCCTCCCCTGATGTTTCAATCTCCCAATAGCCATTGTTTCTCATATAAAACCCAAGAGAGATATATGATTACCCATAAAGTTTTATAAATAAAGATATAATTCGAAATAATTGAACTTTTGACTGAGGTATCAAATACATCTGATAGAGAACGTATACATTTCACATCAGGAATAATTTATCATTATAATTTAATATTATTTTCAATTTTAGGTGACACGAATGTAGTTGTAGGAAGTTGGTAACAATTCAAAATATATTCAATTATCAAGTCACTGATTTCTTTTTTGACAGTAAAATTACTTTTATTAATTGTAAAATCCAACATGACGATGCCACGTTTTCAAAACTCTGTCCTTAATTTTGACTTTTGATGAGATTTTTGGGATGGCTTCGGTTAGGAAACTGATATGATACTTTGCTATTGGAAGTCACCAGTCCGTGGGAGAAGAGCTGAAATGAATAAATGATCGGCTGTATCGGAGGCCTATCTTGACAGGTTTTTCTTGACAACTTTATTGAAGTCACTCGTTCATACTCATCGTATCCTTATATCGTGTACCGTTAATCAATTTTTGATTCTATCTCTAACTAGACCCATGTCACTTTCCATTAAAACTTCAAATATACTTTCTCATTTCTTTGATATAATCGAATTAAAATTATCAGATTGATCGATGTGTATTTGCGGACATTTGCCACTGACAACTGGTCAGTTATGTCAGCATAACTTTTAAGAATTTTGAAAAATTGAAATCAATTTAAAAATATTTTTATATCCAATCCATCTTTAATGTCAACTGCCTTTGAGGCATTTTATTCATTTATTACCGAGCGACTGTTGCTCATTTGGGTTTAAGGTCTTCTTTTCGCGTGATTACCCACCTAACAATTTTTAATTTCAATTTCAAGAAGCAGTGCTAGGGGTCCTGTTTGTAATTATATTAAAGTCCCTTCAGTTTTTGGGCCCGTGTGTGATCTGCCTCGCGTGTACCCCCGCATCAGATCGAGAGATCACCTTTAATGAAGCACCAAACTTCATCAATGAAATGATTGAAATCCGATCACTTGGCCAATTAAAATGCAAAGGGCTTCTTCAAGAGCGAAACCGATCTTCGAATCTTCTTAAATACGAATTGAATTAAACCACACTTGTTTTCTGCTATACTGAATCCCGATTATGATTGTTTATTAAAATGAATAGACGGTACTAAAGATTACTCTTATTTTTCTTGCATCCTTTTTGTTAAATGTGCAATGATAGTATCAAATATTGACACTAACCCCATGCCCCTGGCATATAGGACGAACCACCTGGTAGCCTGGTGGATTCGTTGTATAGTAACGCTGTCTTTTAAGTGTTTTGTACCCTCATTAAAGTGATCCCAAATAATTTGTATATCGGTCGTAATAGAAAAATGTTTTGAAAATCTATAGTCTTTAATTATATAAGTTAATTCCTGTTTGCTGCTTTCTAGTATGGTTTCAAAAATGATTAGTGCAGTATCTCAATTTAATTTATAATATATACCTAATATACTCCATATTTTAAAAACTTATTTTTTAGTTTTGACAGTTTAGCAGGAATCTCTAAATATATCACTTACATAATAAATTTGATTTAACTAAAAAATTATACTGATTAATAACAAAATAAGTAAATCGTTAAACAAAAAATGAATTAAGTAGTTGCCATACCTAAGAAATCTTGATGCGCGTGATGTGCTGCAGCAGCAGCGGCAAGGCCCGCTGGATAGGGGAAGTAGGGTGAGGGCAGCCCGGGTCTCTGGTAAAGGTGCGGCCTGGGAGCCAGTAGGCTATCAATGCTGAACAAACTTGGACTGGCGGTAGGTCCGAGCAGGCTCCCTGCGTTGGGTTTCACGTCACCTCCAGGGTGGTAGTAATAAGGAAGATGCTGCATTTTTAATTATTTCTCTGAAACTTTTGTCTTCTTACTTTAAGTTTCTAGTCCTTATCTTTTAGTATAAGAAGTTTATTTCTTGTAATTGCAAGAATTTTCGTCAATCGTCTTTTTTAATTGTCCGTCCTTTTTGCTCAATATTTTTCTCCGAATTTTCCAAGTCTCAATAATTCAGAATAGTAACAAATAAAGTCATAAATATTCACAAAATGATCTCTACAGTATTAGCTGTAAGTCCAAATATCCTAAATGAACGAATGAATGATGTTGCTGCAGTAGTTGCGTATGTATGTTTCCCGGTGGGTGGTTCGAGTCCAACTGAATATCGAATAATGATCCTCCGCCTTTTGACAACCCTCTCGTGCTTGTTTACCGCTAATCTGGCCTTTGTAACGAACAATTGTGTTAATACTCGCCTTTCTTATTGCAAGCCCTTAATTTGCTCCTACTTTCTGCAATCTATTGTGTCTTGTTAGGGTTTCCTACCGAAAGGTCTATTCAAATAAGCAGGTAATCCTTTAAATACACCATAGGGCTGAGGGTGAATCCGGTAATGCACAGAAGTTGGTTTTAGGTATTGTTACTGGAGAGTCCTCTTAATTGAAAGTATCATGAGAGCGTTCTTCCGTTAGTTTGTTTAATTGGGGTTTAATGAAATTAACCGAATATGTGCCATTAGTGTGGAAAGTAATCCCGGTCCGAATTATGAGGCACAAAATCATATAAAATGTCAGTGGTTATATGTTTTTCTCTATTATGACGATTTTCTATGGTTGCAAACTTAGTCTTTTGTGGCTAAGTTCCATGAATTTTAACTCCGATTCAAACCTTTTGACATATTAACACCAGTTTCATAATCTAAATTTTGTGCAACTTAAATATAAAGTATTTTAAAATGCTTCAAATCTCCGATAGATGTAATATATAGTCTATGCATTTGACGCAGATTAACCGATATAAGACAAATGATCCGTTTTGGAAAACAAAATGCACATGCTAATATAAAATAGTTAAACTTGTTTTATAAACACACGGGGTTAAATATTCCAAACAAACAGAGCCAAAATCAAAAATATCTTTACAATTAGATTGTCATTTTAATCTATAAAGATCAAATCCACTAAAATGGGGAGGAATGATGACCAAACTCCAGAAATGAGAGAATTGATATTTGTAGTAATGGTCCAAACTTTAAACAGGTTTGGGAAGGACGGCTATTGAATTCCGCGTTACGGCATATCATCCCAGTGCCGATGGATTAGAAGAGCGGCTCAAGGAACCGACCTCTTGAGTTTTGCAACAATTAGTCTCGAAGACTCAGCGAGTTTGGATTACAAACTATTTCAATTAGAATGTTTCTACACAGGATTTAGCGTGAAAGTGACACCTCTGTTGAAAACACCCTCAGATTTAATGACTTTAATAGATTTTAAGAGTGATTGTCACATTCCATCTCCGCCATTATGTCACAGAACAGCGATCTTTTACTCTAAATGCGCTTTGAGAAACAAAATTAAATAAAAAGCGAAAAGATTACAAAAATGGTCTCATTGTTAAGTGAAATTACATCCGTTTTACCAAATGGCCGAGCAAATACTTTACAGCCCCCAGTCGGGGAAAACAAATATGATGTTTAGAGTATAATACTGAATAAATGTTGTTCGTATAAAGAGGTTTGATTGGAAGGGTTTAGAACCTTAGATATGAATAGTAAACCAAATATCACAGTCATTAACCGAACTATAATCGCCTGAAATAGAGTTGATCTACTTTTATTCGTAGATAAAATTTGGAGAATTTATTAAGAAGATAATGGATTTTTGGTGTGCGCTCCTAAACTTCTTTCACATAGTCCTTTGCATGTGTAATTAAGATATTAGCCATACCTTCATTAGACTACTAAGTTTTGAATTGAGATTTAACAAAATAATACAAGTGGAATTAAGGTATTGTTCCCTAAAACGTTTCAAAACTGGATTAGCGAAATCCTCTTATTGAACAATGGGATTTTGCGTGAAAAGATTACTTCGCTCTCATGCTTGCTAAATAAAGCCCCCAGTATTTTGCTATTTTATAGCATTTGTATTATTCCCCTATTGATCAGCAATTAATCTTTCACGGAATCTTGTTAGAGAGATGTATAGCCTGCCAGTCACAGATAGAAACATCTCAAGATTTATTTCAATAAATATTTTCATTTTGTTGGTATTGATACACAATGAAATTATGATTAGGTCTAAGGTGTTATTCTACAAAGATCACATTTGACATAGAACACAAAGACCAGCGAACAATGCACGCTACTCGCATGCTTTAAAATCTCATCTATAACCCTACTTGACATCAATTAATTTAAACATTCATCGATCAAATATAAAAAAGAGTTCACTGAAGAAAAATTATCAGTCTTGCTTCAAGACCTCCCCCTACTTCAACAACAATTGTTGAAGTAGAAAAGAGGGTGGGGGCAGAATCTTGAAGTACGATTTAATGTCTATGGTAAGATGATATATGTAATGACTGATATATTCACTTTTGACTAACTTCAGATTTGACTGAGGAAAACGCGAACGATAGGAACAGGACCAGTACAATCAAGTATGCTTATTGTTTTAACAATTTCCTGTAAAACAAATGTTCATTATTCCCGGGGACTCTGAACCATCTGCGAAGTTAAATGATGGAGAGATCCGACCACGGACTTTATAATCTCTAAGTTGATGAACGCGATACACTAGAATTGAATTTGTGATGCCAATGTTGATATCTGTAATGAATGTTAACAGTTTAAAATCTCTTTATTTGCAAACCTAACGTCGTAAGTTAAGACTTCAATCTCTAAAAACCACTTGAAATCCGCAAAATAAATATCTATAGAAAATGGATTAAAATTAACACATTTGTTTAGTTCTCAACCGGATTCGAATAAAACCTAGGAGTTAATCCTATCCGCTAGGATCAACAAAAATAAAGGCGTTTCCTTTATCCTATTATGATTAAAGCTGACCAGATTAAGATAAATTACAACACCTGGACGCTCTGCTAGGAATCACACCCGGGAACAAGTGAATTTGTCGAGTAGAAAGGGGAGGGGGTGTTTGCCCGGGTGTTTGTAGATTTTGCATGCGTGATTACTCAGATTACTTTATATTCTTCTCAAGTCGGCGCAAGAAATATATTAGCAATTGCAAGAAAATACAACTACACTACATGGACTGCTATGAATCATGCAGAAATATGACTTAAAATCCAAGACTAACAAAGAGCCACAAAGGATCAATGACCCGAACATGATTTTCGAGGAACTAACGTGTAATTCCAGTGCTAGAAACATATGAATGGATCCCCTCCAGTCCTCATCCTCCACTCCAGTCCCCCTCCTCCCCCTCCTCTTCCTAACTTTTATTTCAAAAAAGTTTACAAGTGAATAAGTGCCTCGGGTCAAGTGCATAATATTGTAAGCAAGGCTTCTTTTGCGCATTTAGGTCAAACTTACACGCTGCTTACGTTGTACAATAGAAATACAAAATGTAAACCCAGTATTGTTCTCTTGGGATACTGCACTTGCTAACAAACTAGATTCCTTTGAGAACTTGTGGCAATCTAGATTTAATGAGATTTTAGCACATATAATATGTATGTTTAACTACAAATAGTTAGCAAAGTGACCTTTTTTAACCATTTATTCAATGACAAACTTTTAAATCATATAAGTAGCCGCTAAATTCACATCGACAAGACACATGGGAGCAGCTATGTAGAGATGTTAGAGCCAAACCCCAAGCCAAACATAGGCTTTCTAGAGAAATACAAATCTTGCAAGCGGAACATAACATATACTTAATCATAAATCAATCACAAATTACTCAAACTAATGAGATTCTAACTTTATTTGTAATATATGTCGGATAATTCGCTACTGAATGCCATAATCCCCAGACATAATCCTTAGTTACTTAATATTTGTTAGCTTAACTTACAATGAAAGATATTGTTGCAAGTGTCCATGTAAGCAGTGGATCGTTTATTGGAAATTATTTACATTTCTGCATGTAAACTAAGAATTTGTACATAATTAATAAGATGATTGGCCAAATCCGATAATTTTCAGGTAAACTTTAGAGTCAATATTTGCGGACACTTTCCCTACATGACATTTGTTTATTTCCTGACTTGTTAGTACTAATTGCGCAGTAGGTAATTACAGGTATTGTTTGAAAGACTATGTATTAATGCGCAATGACAATAATATCCAAAAACAGATACTCAAAATGAAATGTCAAGCAGAAAATAAATACAGGGTGTTCCAAAAGTAACAGGACTGGTGCTGGCATTAATTATTATGTTATGCACCAATCGTATATATACGGAGTGGGCAAATAAAAAGTTTGGGGTATAAAACCCAAATGACAGCGTGTAAATCAAAAACCAGATAGAGAAAAAATAAAACTTAATTGAAGAAAAAGGTGTAAGGCACAAAACAGTTTGTTTTCTACTAAAAAGAATGTGGTCATATTGTGGAAACAATATGTTCAATGCACAAAAGAACGCAAATGGTCCAAAAAACAATATATTCACAATACCAAAATGAAAGTGACCCCAAAAACAATATGTTTAAATACCTAAAAAATAAATACCAAAAAGTGGCCTAAGATCGATATTTTAAATTGACAAAAGAAAGTGACCACAAGAACAATATGTTGGATACGTAAAGGAACAAGGCATTAACATGACAAAATGTCACCACCTAGTTGCTCACAATATTATAATAGATAATTTTGAAAAAATGGTCAATTTGAAGCAAGTTGAAAAATACCTTTTTTGACCCTGAAAATATCATTGAAGGTGGAATCTCAAATCTAAAGTCAGATTTGAACTTCTGAGAACTTGTAGATGATTTTGAAAAAAATTGGTCAATTTGATTGAAAAAGAATTTGGTCAATTTAAAACAAGTTGAAAAAGACATTTTTGACCTTTTTATTACCTTGAGAAGGTCAATGAAGGTCAAATTTCAAATCTGAAGTCAGATTTGAACTTCTGATAACTTGTAGATGATTTCGAAAAAATTGGTCAATTTGAAGCAAGTTGAAAAAGACCTTTTTGACCTTTTTTTATCGTGAGAAGGTCAATGAAGGTCAAATCTCAAATCTAAAGTCATATTTCAAATTCTGATAACTTGTAGATGATTTTGAAAAAATGATTTGAAGCAAGTTGAAAAATACCTTTCTGACCTTTTTTGACCTTGAAAAGGCCACTGACGATTAAAATATTGAATAAAAATTCAGATTTGAACTTGTGAAAACTTGTAGATGATTTTGAAATACAGACGCCAACCGCCACCCGCCGATCGCCGATCACCAACCGCCGTCAAAAACGGAGACCATAACAGTATGTCACCACTTTTTGGTGGTGACATAAAAATGAACCGAAAGTGAACATAAACAATATGTTTCATTAAAAAATAACCATCCCACTAGTCACAAAGT